TACATCATGATCAACTTGTGGTCTTTTACTTTTACGTCTGTCTACATTCGTTTCTGATTTTTTCACATATTTATGTTTCTTTTCTTGATGTTTTGTAGACTTATTTATTGTAATGATTTTAACAGGGTCGGTGTTTGTACTTTTATCTTTACAATCAATAGGCCTGTGTGGCGAATGATCCTTTTCTTTTTGGATGTACAGACCTTTTGTGAATGAGTACTGAATGTCTGAAGTACTATTTCTCTTCTCGTCTAAATCATTGTGGCTAGAGTCACAAGATGTGCTTTTGTTGGATGTATCATTCACAGTCGGTTCAGGTTGTATTATTGAACTATCTGTATTTGCTGCAGTAGAAGTCTTATCAATTTGACTACTCAAAGGAGATTTTAGATTTGAACTTACTTTGCTAAATTTATTACTAAGAGGACTGATTGTTTTAGTTGGATAAACATTGGTCATAGGACTGGACTCAATGTTGTTGGGTCCAATATTATCATGGATTCTTTGTTTTGAGTCCATCATGGACATTTTGGGCTTATCGTAGATATTTTCTACTTCAGGTTCAGAATTCACCAGCTCTTCTAAACTTGATATTTCTGAATCATTTACCTGAGCCAAGGACATGGAGGATGAATCCTTTTTACTTCTGTGAAATGTTTTAGAATTTTTTTCAGATTCGGGAAACTCTTCAACATCATCAGAATTTTCTTGTAAACTAATCTTAGTAGATATTGATCTAGATTGATTTTTTTCACTCTCAACATCACTAAGATCTCTGCTGGAACTGGAGATAAAACAGATTCGTTCAAACTGATTAGACAGGTCTGAAAGCACAATACTTTCTGATGAAACTGATTTATTCACAGAATTTTCACCATCAATTTTGGTAACTTTACTATACACTTTAGAACTGTTGGTTTTTTGGCTAGAAATTTGCTGCACATCATGAACATTGGCAGTTTCTCTGATAGACTCCTCTTGTAAACTATAACTTGAAACGTTATAATCAATCTTTAAAGAAATAGTAGGATCATTGAAAGTTGTAATATGCCTTTGAAAGTTTTTCACATCTTCAGAACTGCTTCCACTTTCTTTAGGAGTAAGACTGTTATTTAAAGTGCTGTTTTCGGAATCTTCTTGTTTTAAACTTTTTGAATATTTTTCAGTGAGCCTTGAAAGTCTTTCTTTAACCGCTGACACTTTGTACCTACTCATAGCTGTTCCTTTCTTATCAACAAGTTCTTGAAACTAAAACAAAAAATACACATCCATTTCTTTAATTCCAAATCTAGTTAACCAGTGAACAATTGATATGGAAGTCGTGTACTTGTTTCAGTTCAATATGGCATTTGATTGAATTGATACTTTCAACTTATGTACAATAATACGGGTTGGGTATCAAATTTTCACCTAAAATACTGGGAAGAAAGCTTCAAAAAGAAGAAATCCTAAAAAATCCCCAAGCTAGATCATTTCCAGACACAGACAACATTTGTTATGACATAGCCCACATTGGGCTATGAATTACTAACAAAAAGGTCGACGTTGGATAATAAAATGACCAGGGTTTGGACCATAAAAAAACACACACAAAATAAAATACCCCCGACGCAGCAAATCTGCAGACTAAGTGAATTTCCATTTGCCTGATTGTATTAACACTAAAATGTCTCCTTAAAAATATTACCAGTTTTACAACCTATTCAAATGGTAGAATTAGTTTGACGAGTGTTTAGGTTTGCTGCAACAGGGAGGGTAAAAGAGTGTTTTTTTGTAAAATGTTAATAGTTAGGTCAAAATTAAATTCATATTCCAAATTTGATAAAAAATTTTTAATATACAAGGAACTACAACTTTACAGTTTACTTATTCTCCATAGAATATCATGGGAATTTAACATTGTTTTTCTCCCATTAGGCGCACAATAACACTTCAATATGCAAAATTATTTGTTTTTCATGCTCTACAAAATGGTTTGAAAATAAATTTCTAAATTTTATGTTTTTTTTTTGTAAAAATGAGAAAACCTGATTTTTACCCCATAAAGCCACGTTTCCATAGTCCGATCATGCTGGTTCGCTATTCGAATAACCTTATTCAAATAAATGTAAGTTTACACCTTTATACCAAATTTCATCAAAATCGGATCATTTTTGCTCGAGTTATCGTGCTAACGGACATATATATATTTATGACATAAGTCCCTAAATAGCTCTAAATGTAACACAACTTATTTTAATATTTAAACAAACTAAGAATCAAATTATTTATTTGTCAAGATGGATATGCCTGTACACCATCTTTGTCAAAAAAAGTCGCTCTGTTTTTGTTTTCTTTGAAATCCAAGGCATATTATGAAATCCAATGTTTGTCTTTTATGCAAAACGACCATCTGATCTAGATGAAACTTTAGGGAAGTAAATAAGTACTATACAAAATGAACAGTTTTATTAGCCTCACTTAGTAATATTATATAGTTTTAGGGTTCCATTTCCCAGTTGTCGAAGCCAATATTGATAATTGACACGAAAATCATTGGTTCGGTTTTCGAAAAGTCTCAATTAGGCTATAGATAACGTTATACCTGGTTTTAATATAGTATACAGTGCATTGTAGAGTTAACTGGCTATGAAGTAAACCAACTGAGTGTATTGAATACTGGCTTGGAAATATAGCGCGATCAACTTATAAAGTAAACAAAAATCAGCTGCGTATGGCTTCCAATGTTATTCTTATGAAAAACGTTTTACATTCTAATTTTATGTTAACATTTTGGGAATTTCACTACTTTTCCCGCTGTCACAGGATTGATACCTTTAATTTGAGCCCTCTCCCGTCATTCTACGACTTCTCAGTCGGCCACAATTTTTACGCAAAGAATCGGCTTACGTAATTAATATATATATATATGAATTTGAACGGATGGTATTTTTGGTCTCTAGGGAACTCAAAACGAAAAAGTAAATCGGTTCCGGGTCCTGGTCTTACCATGAGACCTAAGGTAATAGCTTATTATCTATGGGAAAAAGAACACCTAAGTTATACTATAAGTTACACAAAAAAGCCATGAATGATGATTGATAAAAGTTTATTATATTGAAAATAGGTAGGCCTACTTTAAAATGTTCTTGGCACAGCTCCTAACAATATGCACCTTTTAACTGGTAACTTAAAATTATTTAGTTACTTATATTGCTCATTCTCATATTTAAAAATTCCAAGTACAGTATACTACAGTACTGTATTCTGTAGGATAAAAGGTAAATGGATTCTATTTTTACATAACCAAACACCTTAATAATAATCTGCTTTAACTTCAATTGTATTTACGTACCGCACCGAGGTAACTAACTATAAAAGTATTTCTATCTAACCTCTATAAAAGCATAAAAGTAAGTTCATCTAGGGCCGCTCCGCTGGGCTGGATAAGTGGATTGTTATGGTTTGGTTTGGATTGAATTGCTGTTGTTGCTATGGCAACGACGCGACGTCTCGGACTGGAGTCGAGCGAGTACATAATGGACATAATTTTGCAGAATTAATTCACACTATATAAACTGTGTGCACCTTGAAAAACGAGGTTTATAGGTTTATTGTATTTACCATGAGTATCGGGGGGCCGAGCAATGAATTGGTATAGTTAATTTCGATTGTAAATGCAATATAGATAGATCTTTAGTAGAGTTTAGTTAAAATTTACTGTCAAAAATCGCAGTCAAGGCAAACGCATTAGACAAGGACAATTGCGTAGGATAAACCATGGAATAAATTAAAATGTTATTTTAGTACTATTATTTTTATTTAAGCTGTATAACTTATTTGACGAAGTGAGAAAACATAGGCAATACAACTGTTTTGGAAAACCACCGATAGTTTTTTTCCTATAGAAACAATCAATTTATATTATAGCATTGGCTATAATTATATTGTTAGTAAAGTGATAAAATAATTACACAAATAAAAACCAAGAGAACACAACATTTGTCTTTGACAGTAATACGGCGTTAGAACAAAGACGAGGGTGGGGCGGTCGCCCCGTAACCAGGTAGCATCGGGTGGCCGTGGAAGGGGAAAAATCGTATTAGAATGTGTCGATTCTCGATACCACAGATACTTAGCTTGGACGTTGGTATCGGTGCCGAGAATCGATCGTTAAAAGTCGATTCCTTTACCGATGCCCGTCACGCCCGTAATTTGATTAATTCTTGTGCTCACAGTTGCAACTTTATTCACTGTCATGACATGACATAAACAATTAAAATAAAAAAATTAAAAAAAACTCAGTGAACTGGTAAAGCATAGTAAAAGTTTTGACTTTATCAGATTAAATGTAGCAGATTAAATTTACTAAACGCCTACATTTAGCAGACAAGATTTTACATTTAGTCGGGCCGGGCCCCCTTCAGAGACCCGGGGCTCTGGCCCACCTGCCCCACCCTCTAGTGCACCGGACAGAACTAAAAACTGTCCAGCTGATCTTTGAGGATGACAAATCTACTAAGAGAGTATGTTTGACATGATGATATTGTATACAGTATAAGTTGGTTTACGATCATTAAAATTATTATGACAAAATATTACGATGTAAATTAATTACTAAAATACATATCCTCTAACACTACATCAAAATTTTCAAATTATTTATACTTATTCAAAACTTACTTTAGCGTTACCAGACATGAGACGGAAGCATCCATGAAAAACACAGCGAAACAAATGAAAGATTTTACAAATGGATAAGAAAAGAAGTTCACAGTAGTGGCAGTTTTCTATTGTAGTGCCGAGCTGATCGTTAGAATACAATTATTCAGTATTTTGGAAGTTTCGCTCAAATGTGACATTTTTTTTAACCAGTGAGACATTAATATATGTTCTGACTTCATATTACTTAGTATGTAGAGTAATAATAAAACACCTCTTTGTTCAAACGCTTCCCGAGCGTGGTGGGCTTCTATTGGTCAGATATTCTGACGAATAGGAGCATTCCATCTGTCTGCCTCAGTTGTCGTTGCAGCAGTAGTTTTCTCTCTTGTCGATTTATCATTAACCGATTGTCGTTTGAGAAGGTTGTATGAATTAGGATTTTAAAGAAATAAAAATGTACTTTTACGCGTTGTTAGGTTTTCTAGCTGTATCCCAGATCAGTGCTGAAGTGCATTTCGAAGAAAACTTCAACGACAGTAAGTACTGTTTTATTCTAAAGAAATTTGTAACTGAGCCGGTTTCGTTGGCTGGGAATCTTGTCGGCATTTATTTATTATTAATCTACTGTCGGGAATATCTGTCTACAGAGCCAAACGCATAGTATATTATTAGTTTTTTGTAGTAGTATTATTAAATAATAGGCTATTGATAACATAAGCTGGTCAAATTATTGTTTTCTATGAGGATGTTCTAAAGAAATTCTGGGACCTAAAAGTCCAGAAGAGAGGACCATGTTGTATTAGTTAACAAAAACCTGCCTCGTTGGGACAACTAAATCATCCTTTCCTAACTATCTGCATTTTAAATTTATAACCTACTGACCTGAATTAACATAACTTAAATGTGTTGGAATGCTGTAACTTTTGCAGAGAGTTTTCCAAGAGTAGATCATCATCATGCAAGCATTTTTGAAATAGTAATTTGAAGTGTTTTTAATCAGGATGTTAATTTTACAAAACACAGAGGATACACGTCCGGTAACCAGACGTGGATTAGGCGTCCGGTAGTGACGTCGCCGGGTTGTGGGGTCCCAGAACGCCAGTACCACAACGATGCAATGTTTGGCCAGCGTTGTTCGTGGTGTAGTGGATAGAGTGCTCGGCTAATATCCAAGAGGTCCCTGGTTCGAAACCCATTGGTTTCTTTAACTTTTTGTCACAGATTTTGCTTTGAATGTAATTTTTTCTTAACTGTACATCTTTTGTTAGAATTTTTGGCATTTATAATTTTATGTTATGAAGAGAATTGAACCTTCATTTGATTTTTTTCATTATCAGCAAGTTTGGTTGGTTAGGTTAGGTTATGACAGTAACTGCCGGACGCCTAATCCACGTCCTGTTACCGGACGCGTATCCTCTGCGTTTACAAAAACAGTCTGCAGGTGACATAAACTAACAACTCGATACATTATAACCTAAACTTTACCTTCCTAATCTAACCTAACTTCAAAACACTTAATGCAGTCACCAATTCGCATAAAGCACGACCTACCACCCTGACATGCCTAAATAAGAACTACGAGTAATTAGTCCATATTATTCCATCTATATCTCCATAATGTGACGAAATTCCTATTGTAGAAAACATTATTGACTATAGAATCACTTGATATGTTTCTACAACGATGTTATTATCTTTAGTCAACGATGTTATTCTCAATCTTCTCATCAACCATGTTACTCTCTTCACTTAACCTGAACTTGTGATGGCGACGGTGTAGCAGAATAGCACTACGCAACACTGAATGAGTAGGCTATTTTTGTTTTGTATTTTATTTGTAGTGAAGTAAAATGACGTCACTAGTATAGGCATATATTGGCAATATATGCCAATATATGACATTGTCAAGATTATTACTAACTTAACCTAATGTACAACAATATGTCTTATGCATAAAAAATGTTTGTAAACAAGTTGGCAAAATTTGTTAAACGATGACAGAAAAAAAAATTAGTTTCTATGTCATACTAAATAGAGTCATATTGATTGGTTAGTTTCATTGAGGTAATCATTAACACTGTAATACGTTTGCTCTAATCAGAAAATCAGCAAGGCTGCTTTTAAAAGATTTATTATTAATTAAATTTTTTAGAGTTGAGGGTAGTTTATTAAAAAGTTTTTTTCCCATGTATTTAGGTGTTTTTTCTACAAGCTTCAGTCGGTGTCTCGGATATTGGAAATTATTTTTAAATCTAGTGTTATAGCCTATATGTGGTCAAAGTTTTCGCTAATGTAGTCATCAAAATTTGAATGCACCGCTAACAATGTTTTATAAATAATCAAATTTAGAATAGTCATAATATTCAATTCTTTAAAAACTGTTTTGCATGAAGATTTCCATGGTAAAAAAGTCATAATTCTTATAAACTTTTTTTTATTTTAAAAACTTTTTTCAATTTCAGAGGCGAACCCCCAAAATTCAATTTCATACTGTACTATTGAATAAAAGTAAGCATAATAGAGCATGACAGAAGTTTTCATGTCTAGGCCTATAGAATTTCTTAAGCATAACATTTGAAAACAGGCTGAATTTAATTTTCCAATTAGGCCTACCGACTGAATGCACTTACTCCAGGTCAAGTGCTTATCAATATATAGCCCTAAAAATTTTCTTAACCCCATAAACCTCGTTCCATGGTCCGTTAACGAAGGTTTGAGAACTTGTTCGAATAAACGTAGGATTCCTTGTTTTTGCAAAATTTAGTGTATAGGCTTACTAATATTCATCAGAGTTCATAGCCTTAATATACAGGGTTAGGCAAAAGTCTGTAACCCCCCAAGTAACTTTTTAACTCGTTGCAGTAGGAAAACCAAACTCGGCACATATTTACATCATATGAAAATTGCACTTTTTCATCAAAGCTACAACTTTGTCCCAGCCTCCAAAAAAAGTTACCTGGGGGGTTCAGACTTTTGCCTAACTCTGTATATAAACTTAGCCTATATATTAGTATATTAGTGCCTTTACAGATACTTATCGTATCTGACCCATTTCCAAAGTAAAATCATGCGGTCAAAATGTAACATTTTCTTATTTCCCATAAATAATAGCACAAGACTAAAAAAAAATCTTTTCTATAGCCAATGTGTTATGCCTTTTTATGTAGGCAATAAAATTTGAAACATAATGTTTATATAATGATTTTTGCTTTAAAAATTGCAGGCCCATTTGATCACCACAACTTACTTTTCAAATTTCACTCAGAACATTTTAGTTTTTTTAGTTCTCAGAACTTCAAACAAACTAAAAAATGCAATGTGTCAAATCCAATTTATTTTTGCATATTCAGATTCGCCTTGATGTCGCAAATAAAACGAGTAGGCCTATGCATCGATATGTTCCAAACATTATTAGACTTAGGCCTATATGATTAAAAAAGAAAATGTCTGCAAAACTGGCGATTTGGCTGGCAGGGTGTCTACTAGTCGGGAATTCCGGGAAAATCGGGAAAAAGTCGGGGATTTTGAATGGTCGGGAAAAGTCGGGAAAAAGTAACGAATTTCGGCCGAAGGTCGGGAATAATCTAACCTTTCAAAATTAGAGATGAACGGGTCCCAAAACTTTTAAAAAACTTTCTGGATCTTATATTCCTGATTCATACATTATTGAGTCAGTATTCATATACATTATTGAATCCGTATCCATATACGTTATTGAATCAGTATCCATAAATACGTTTTTGAATCAGTATCCATAATTTATTGAATCAGTATCTATATACGGTAGGCCTATTGAATCAGTATCCATAAATATGTTTTTGAATCAGTATCCATAATTTATTGAATCAGTATCCATATACGTTTTTGATTCAGTAGCCAAACATTATTGAGTCATTATCTATATACGTTTTAGAAGCAGTATCCATATAAGTTATTGAATCTGTACCTATCCATAAATACGTTTTTGAATCAGTATCCATAATTTATTGAATCAGTATCTATATACGGTATTGAATCAGTATCCATATACGTTTTTGAATCAGTATCCATACATTAATGAGTCTGTATCTATATACGTTTTTGAATCAGTATCCAAATATGTTTTTGAATCAGTATCCATACGATATTGAATCAGTATCCAAATACGTTATTGAATCAGTATATACGTAGTTGACCCTGTTACATTGATAATGTTACTTCGACTATCAGTATCCATATACTTATTGACACTATTCAAATTATTGACATTAATTTATATAAGCTATTTACTGAGACATTGCTTAGCCATACAAGAAATTATGTATACCTTGTAGCTCTGATTCTATCCTCTTATTTTATCAATGTAAACCAATTGAAAGATTCAGTATAAATCTTGCAAAGGTTTTTATTTGTTTACACCAAAACATATCTTTATATTTATAAAATCAATAAAATAAAATAAGTAACATGCTGAACAACATGATGCTGCAAGTGAAAATTATGAAATAGGCAAGAAGCTCACTGATATTTCCAGAAATACTGTTTCTTCTAATGCATGATTGAAAACAAATATTTCATTCCATTGACAAGTATGAATAGAAAAATGCCGTGTTGCTTCGAATCGAGTTACATTAAAATTTGTTGCTGCTTCACACACCCCAACATTTGAAATGGGATTTTCTCGGCACGTGATTTGTTTCGATCGTCAGTGATTTCGCTGCATCGCGAGTGACAACATATCTTGACGAAGGTACCGTGACCGCGAGACGGAAAAAGGTGTAGTATCATGGAGAACATGGAGTTTTTGGTCGTGATTTAAATAGAAATGGTAATGAAAAGTAGGGAAATAGTCGGGAATTCCATTTGAGAAATCTAGTAGACACCCTGCTTGGCCAATACGGAAACAACCTACCTGTGGCTACTCGGAGGGTTAAATATCCAGAAAGACACCCGCAATTGCCTTGTAGTTTCTTTAGCCATAATTTATTAAAAGTTCAATGAACAAGATCAGCTGGGTCTAACTTGTTATCCACTTAAAAGATTTTGACTTTCTTCTGGATTTGATGGTAACGTTTTGATTTCTAGGCCAGCAAACTATCCACTCAGCTATCCAACTGTTTTAAAAGCTAGCTTCTGTTGCAGTATTTAAGCAATGAATACAAACCCTATAAGAAGTGCGCCTTTGTAAAATATTCAGTCTGGGTATATTTTAATTTTGGACTGTTCCCACCCCGGCCCCCCCCCCCCCCAGATGACACCCCTGTCCCACGGCGACTGCTAGGTAAACTATCATGAGCACGCGGCCAAGTCAGCTGACAGAGTGAGAGAGAGTGAGACAATAACTTGCTTAGAGAGAGGGGGGAGAGGGAGGGCAGAGCAGTGCAGCTGCCGCGCAAAGCTCATTTTGGCAGCCAAATTCCAGTCTGACTATTCTCCATATCCATTTTGCTTCTGAAAGGGTTTGTATTCATTGATTTAAGTAAACTACACAAAAGTTGTTTAGCTGTGTACAAAAGCTGTTGATAAGAAAGTTGTTTTAAGTCAAGATTAGATAGGATTTACTTACTCTAACACATTTTTTTATTTCCAGAATCGTGGGAAGATAACTGGGTATACTCTGAACATCCAGGCAAAGAGTTTGGGAAGTTTGTATGGTCATCTGGCAAGTTCTACAATGACCCAGAAAAAGACAAAGGTGAGACTGAGTACTGATTTTTTAATCCTCTTTTGTCCTATTTGATTCCAACAATTATTTTAATGTGAGTTCGGATACTATGCTTAGGCCTATTACTAGAAGCAGTAAAATTCTCCTCTGTAATTGGCTATAGGACTGTAGAATGTTCATGTTATGCATTCTTTCTTCGTACTTTAAATTTAGACCTACTCTCATAATCAATTTGACACACTTTATATGAATATTATTGCTGTTGCTATTGGCAAGGAATTGAAGGTGTTAAATTAATTGTGGGTTAAGATTTTTGAGGAATAATTACTGTAACTTGAAATTTCTTCTGTAACTTTATAATATCAGTTGATCTGCATTTTCATTGCATCCTAGATAATGACTTGCTTTAAATATTACCATGTAACAAAGTTATGGGTGACAAATTAATAGGTTATCTTATAGACTAGACCTATGATATCAAGTATTCAAATAAAAATAAAAAATAATAATACTTAATCTTCATTCATTGGCTCTAGAACTAACAGTGCAACATGATTAACACGATAAAGAACTGATGATCAAAAATAGTAGAGCAATCCTTTTTATCTACCAATAGTAGCCTTGGTGCAAAACTGAGTTCTGATTTCACCTTATAACAAATGACACAATCCATTGGATTGAAATTCAGTTGAACCTATGTGATTTGCAAGAAAAAACTACCAGTTAATAAACTAACCAGTCTATAGTAACAACAATTAAATTAATTATTTCTGTTTCTGTGAATGTTCGCCTAGCTTTAGACTTTAATTTTAAATAACTTTCTCATACAAACATTTCATCTTCTAATCAATTGTCCTGTAGGTATTCAAACGTCCCAGGACGCGAGGTTTTACGCTCTTTCAAAAAAGTTCCCACCCTTTAGCAATAAGGACAAACCCCTGGTGATCCAGTTTACCGTGAAGCATGAGCAGAACATTGACTGCGGCGGTGGATACGTCAAAGTGTTTGATTGCTCGTTAGACCAGAAAGACATGCACGGAGAAACTCCGTACGAAATCATGTTTGGTAAGTAGGACCTACTAAATAACAAATATTAGTCAATAGACCTATCTATGTCATTTTATATCATTGTAGCATAAAATTTAGGATTTTCCAAGCTAATAGGCCTTATTAAAGAAAGACCTAACGGCAATGGCCGCATAGCATTTTGTACATCAGTTTCCTACAGCCTCGATGGCAAAAGGTAAAAGGAGAGAGGAAGGTGGTGACAAATAAAATTTACTCTAGAAACCAGCAACTGTTGCTAGTCACTAAGTGTACCATTGAATGTATCCTTTGCATCTTTCTTCTCTGTGATAAAGCTGTTGCGTTAACGCTCTTTGTCAAAATAAAATTGTTAAAATAAATGTAGACCTACACACATAGTTTGTGTAAATAGAATAACAACATTTTATACCACACCATTTGGATAAAATTTTTTTAATAAATTCTCATACAAAATCTTTATATAATCTTAGTACCTATCTATACATAGCATCGAGTACCTGAATATATGGATGCCCTTATGCATAAGGGAACAACGCGCCAAATTATAAAAAAATGAGCTGGTGCTGCCATCTTGAAGAACAGACCAGAATCAATACCCAGAAAAAATCCCATAGATGTATGACTTTTGACTAAATTAAAAAAACAATTTCTCTATGTGGGATCGTATTTTGCACTACGGAACCAAGTGCCAACAATTTTCATCATCCATCATATTAAAAACGGCCTATAATATTCCTTTCTCTATGTGGGATAATCGTATTTTGCACTAGAGAACCATATGTCAAAATTCTATTCAATACAATTAGTGAACCCGACCTAAAATAACCAATAATTTCTATTATGCATAAAGGAACCAAGGAACCATGGGCCATTAGGGCTATATCATTGTATGTAACTATTGTAACATTAACAAATAAGCGTAAAAGAACCAAGCACCATTTTTCCTTATATCAGCATAAAAAAATAAATAAATAATAATAAATGGTTCTCTTGATAAATAATTACATTTTTCACCACTACAAACATCTAAACAACTTTTGAAGGGTTTGAGTTTTTTTAATAATTTAGGACCCACATTAAACTTTGACTCTTAATCTCTTATTTTCACATATGTGTCGCTTGGTTCCTTTATGGGTAAAGGCATCCATATAGAACCATCAAAGTTAATAAACAACCTTCAACTTATTGTATTAAATGTATCGTACTTGCAATTCGCTTAAACAATACCTAATCTTGTAGGACCTGACATTTGCGGCCCTGGCTCCAAGAAAGTTCATGTCATCTTCAGCTACAAGGGCGAGAATCTCCTGATTAACAAAGACATCAGGTGTAAAGACGATGTCTACTCTCATTTGTACACCCTCATCGTTAAACCAGACAACACATACGAGGTTGGTTCGGTTTTATTAGTCATTTTAACCCCTGGTTATAACTAGTTATACTGTAAAAATGTGTTTTTAGAATAGCCTACCACTGTTGAACGTGTCAAACAGTTAGACTATATTTTGTTTCTACAAACTAAGAAAAAAATGGACACATTTCAAACAAAACATAGATTTTATTTGTAGGTTTTGTGGCTGAAGTCATTAGGATTCTTATTAGTTTTTGGCGTAAACTGTGCCGCCAGTTGCAGATTAATGTTGGACGTCAGTCTCGGTCTAGCAATTGAGGTGCCTTTTCAAAGTAATGGTGAAACGTATGGCAGCAATCTCAAAAAGACGATGTCACTTAATAGAAACCTACTACAGTAAATGCTGTGCAAAGAACAAAATCAATAATCCACCAAATACAATCAGACAACAGTTTGTGACAAGAAAAAAACTTAGGTGTATTGGACAATTAACTTGGCCAAGTATGAGAGACAAGTGATGCGGTTTTGGCAAAAATATTAGTCTGTGGTCATTACAGTTGTAGAGGAGTTTGGTTAGATATGAACTATTAATATTCATGACCTCTTGATTAATTATCTTTCTCGGATTGAATTTAGTTTTAGGTAGCGTTATTTAAGTTTTTTCTCCTCTTGGCCAGGTGCTCATTGACAACGAGAAAGTCGAATCGGGAGATTTGGAGGCAGACTGGAACTTCCTGCCACCCAAGAAGATCAAGGACCCCTCGGCCAAGAAGCCTGATGACTGGGAAGACAAGGCCACCATCGACGACCCTGAGGACAAGAAACCCGAGGACTGGGACAAGCCAGAGCATATTCCTGACCCAGACGCCACCAAGCCTGAGGACTGGGACGACGAGATGGACGGAGAATGGGAGGCACCGATGATTGACAACCCTGACTACAAGGGACCCTGGACACCCAAGCAGATCGACAACCCCAACTACAAGGTAGGCCAATTTCATTTTCTTAAATTTTTAGTGTTTAACATATTCTTTAAGCCTTTATGCCTGCCACATGAATGAGTTCATGTTATAACACATATCAAACCACCTCCTTGTTTATAACACATATCAAACCAAGCAAGGTGTGAACCGGTATTTGCAAAATGAACTAAACTAATAAATTTGACATGACGGCACCGGACACAAACCCTCAGGCTACTTTGGTTCGACAGTCCGTTGCCCTACCGACTGACCCAAATACTCACCTTGTACATTGGTGTCTTGATAAGTTTATCATCCACAATTAGTTGTTTTTAGTGAATATCTACTAAATAACAATCAATCAACTAGTACAATTTGTATAACATTTCTTCAAATTGGTTATACCTAAAAAAGAGCTTATAGCAATAGTGATAAGCAAACTTCTTGTGATCTTTAAGTTCATTCATTGCTCTTGTAAAAATATTTATTTCTTGCAGTGTTAAAGTTTCATTTCATATCCTTGTTCACCCCTCAGATTGCTTTTTTATCCTAGAAATTGTATACTAGTAGTAAACCTACTAAAGGTTCTTTTTCCAAACAGGGTCCCTGGATCCACCCCGAGATTGACAACCCCGACTACAAACCTGACTCAGAGCTGTACCTGAGGAAGGAACTTTGCGCTATCGGCTTCGACCTGTGGCAAGTCAAGTCCGGCACGATATTTAACAATGTCCTCATTACCGACGACCCGGACTATGCTAAGAAGATTGGTGACGAAATCTGGAAGCCAAGACTTGTAAGTTTGAATGTTAATTGGATTTTGTAGAATATCTCGTACATAGGGTTCAGCTGGGTGAATATGTCCTGTAGCTAGAATGCAATTATCACTCACAGAGAACCTTACCATGAGTATCGCAATGCTGTCAGCTAATTTCAACACATATGAATAATGATTGTTGTTTGAAATTAATTTTAAGGTGTTAATGTACGCTTAAATAATATAATGTTAAAGTAGCTGTGAATTTGATAAGAAAAGGTACTGGGGATAATTATTCTTGTCATTATGATTTGTGTTCTTTAAAGTCAAAATTTTATGAGACTAGTACCGCAGAATAATAGACTAAGAATACAAATATAAACTCAACTTGTAATGCAATGTAATTCTGACTTTTGACTTTTCAAGTAAAAAAAGCAAATATATAATATTTTTTAAAATTTCATTAGTCTTTCAACACAGCCTAAATGATGAAACATGGTTCTCAAAAGCGCTTGTGAAATAAAAAAAAAAACATTATATATATTGGCCTTTTGTACTTTAAAAGTTAAAATTAAATTACATTATTTTTGTCAATGTCTCCAATATACCTAATGGATAACTATTATCATAGACTAAGCAACACAAGTAGACTCCTCATCCCATTGTAAATTTTGAAGCTTGTTTTTTGCGTCTAGTTCATGTACGTCCACACTAATCGCTAGTGTAGACAACATTTTGTTTCTATTATTTTAGGGTTATTTTCATGATTTGTGCTTTACTATTTGGTTATATAACTAGGAGACCAGTTATTGTTTATGATTATATCGTTTTATTAGGTTAAACGAGGTTTAAATGACTGCAATAACAAGAAACAAATTGTAAACAAAACATAACCTCTATAGTTGGACGTACAGAACTAACAATAAAATTGGCTTCAGCTGTTCCATTAGGATGACTAATCTACTAAGGGAGTATGTTTTATCTATGCTATTATCATGATATAATTCATAAAAGTGCACCGACACAACAGTTAAATTTAAATTATTAACGGTAGTTTGATTTCAAAAATTCACTCTCCCAAATGCCAATTTCTCCTGTGATTGTCGCAGCGAAATCGAGAACATCCTACCATGATCATGCAGTTATCAAGGGCAAATTGCAAAAAATGCAATTGCGAAAACTTTTTGAATGCAAATGTAAATGAACTGGAAAATATTTCTTTGGATAAAATTAAAGATCTCACAAATGAATTGTTTTCTAGGAAGGAGAAGAGAAGATGAAGAAGCAGCAGGACGAAGAGGAGAGAAAACAAGCTGAAGAAGAGAAGAAGTCAGTTACACCTGAAGAGGACGACGATGACGATGAAGATGAGGACGAAGACGCAGCGGACAAACCAGAGACGGGAGAGGTGAGAGACAAACACAACTAAGTTTTAATTCATCCTAGGTTAAATCATTGATTGGATCGATTCTATAACAACAAAAAAACACACATTTAGCAGGGTATCCACATTCTGGAAAGACAAGGATAGCCATAAGACATATTTCTGGCCATTGAAAGTCATGGAAATTCATGGAAATAGGCAAAAGGTCATGGAAATCCCCAATGATGGATGAATTTCAGGGGACGTTTCAATGCTCTAGTTGGCCTTAACCCAACTATTGTAGCATTTTTCTGAATTTTCCACAAATGTACACGACAATTTATACAGTTGTATTAGTTTATGGGTTTTGAGTTTGTATTAGTTCATTGTTGTACCTATTGTACTCCATTTTTATCTGCCAATTCATATTTCAGCATTTTCTGTGAAATAACTTGTTTAGGCAGTATTATTCGTGTGTGTATGTTGTATTAAAATTTTTGAGTTACATGAGTGATGGAAATCAATGGTTAATGGTCATGGAAATTAATGACAAAATTTCTGTGTACACACTGTTTAATAAAGAATGTTTTTATATTGCAAAGAGTGACGTTAATTTGGCTACTGATGTAGAGTTATATAAGACTAGGAGAAACCCGTCGAAATCGACGGTTAGGGGCCTTTTCGTGTATATTGACGTGCAGCTTCATTGGCAAACAAATAATGCAAATGACATAGCAAAGTGGCATTTCCAAAAAGCAAAGAATACTGTAAATTGGTTGTTACGTTTGTAGTTACGTGTGTAAATATTGACGTTTAAATGCATTGTTAATCAACGTGCGTATCTTATAAAGGATGATGTGATCTGGTTTAAAAGGAATATGACCTTTCTGTCATGACAGTAGCTGCTTAAATAGTATTTACTCTTTGTGCCATTTTTTCAGCCAAAATGTCATGTTATTTTCAATAATTACCAACCTAGTAAGCCACGGTCCGTAATATAGGCCACTGCAAATAATTTGACAAAGATATGTACCGGTACCATTCTAGGCAAGGTGAGCAAGGTGTTTGGATGTTATTAGACACGATAAGAGCTCAATGAACTTCTTCTACAGATAATTAATCTGTTGGGGAAATATAAGCCGAATTATAAATGCGAGTTGGGGCATTTTGTAACTGTATAAGTAAGTTACATAGTATTTTTAGGCTGCTGCTCAGTCCACATAAGAATATATTTTTTAGAGATAAATTAAATGGTTTTTGTTGCTGAGTAGCGATAGTTAACATGCGTAACCCTCTTCGTTAGTTTAATAACATTCAAAGGCTCTCTTAAAGTTGAAGTTCTTATTTGTATACATCCTTTATTATGTTTTTACTAAGCGGAATGAATACATCGAAGTAACCTCTCTGAAAGGTATGCAGTAAATCGCAGTTTTCCAGCTTAATGACTTTTTAAGTCATGCACATGTTTCTACATAAATATTGTAAAATGTTTAATCCAGTTGCTGTACCTAAACTAATATTAATTTAACAAAATATGGACACGGCTCATATGAACAACGTGCCCTTCTGTATTATTTTGTATTGCATTACACAAATACACAATCAAAGACTTTTCCAATTATTGAAAACATCTATGACAATAATCTCATGAACCTATGATGATCTGCCTGGAATAATATGATTAAATATAGGCAAAAGTAGTAATAAAGGCAGACACCAACCCGTACAATAGATATAAGATAGTTAAATAAGAAATAATTGCAAGAGTTACTATACAATTATTGTTAACTGATTTCGTAATGGAACGTTATGTTGCAAAAACATGGCTTGATACAAAAGAAAATCTATTTTAAAATCAGTAAATAACATTGCAAATACTTCTTTTGGACAATTCAATAACTTCCAATAAACGTGTGTTGGTTAAAATAAAATTTAAGAATTAACAGCTGTTTAATTCAAAAGTATTATCAACATGATCAAAATGTAAACAAACCTGTGGAGGGATCTTTAAGGGCTTTTGGGGCAGAGCCCTAACGGGATTCACTTCGTTTTTCTTTTGATAACTCATCTAGAGACCAAGACCTTTCTTTGGACACCATTACCAAGTTCCTACGCCCAGCCGTTCTCTCAAATTAGTGGAGACAAATTTCCAATTAATTATTTGGATTCCCCCATGTTAATCTTATGGGAGAAAACCCAACTTTGATGGATGATTATGCCCAAACTAATAAAGATTTCAAAAAACGAAAAACACTTTGCAAAACTACAGATCAGGTCCATTATTTTGACGTTTTAACCATTAAAATCGGTCCAAAAATGAGGGAGGAGTTCTGTTCACAAAAATCGGCTTAGCGTATTATATATATAGATTAGATTAGGTCATGCTCAAATGTATTTGACTAATTTTATTAGTCTATTGTAGTATAGGATGGGTCTCCCCTAATAGTACAGCTACTTTTTTTCCAATTTGCAAAAACGGCGACCACTGCAAAATTGATTTGGTCTACCCAATTATTTTTGAATTTGAAGTTACAAATTGTAAAGCTTTGAAGAAAAAAAAAACTAAATTGTGTTGTCACCAATTATTGGTGACAACACAATTTAGTTTTTTTTTCTTAAGTCGTATTATAAACGAATAGAATTTTTTTCTAACTTAAATAACCTTCAAGGATTTACATTAGGTAACATACTTTCTCTTCCTACAAGGCATTGAATAGGATCTAAGATAATTGGCACTAACATAACCCATCCATATTTCTTGATCTTCTCGTTCTTTCACTGTTTCTCCTATTCCCTCTAACACTGCATTCACTTGGTTCTGCTAAATTTTCCATGCTTTTCCTCTTGGTCTTCTTCCTTCAGTATTCCACATTTACTATATTTGATTATATGGATTGAACATGTTTTGAGTCAAACATCAACATAAAAAAATTTAGTCAAACTGAATATGAAGTTAGCTAGGCTAATTAAATTTGGGTAATTGGTGTATTACTTTTAACTTAAACTAAATCATTTTCTTTTGTTTGTCAGGAGGAATAGTTTTTTTCTCATACAAAAATTTTTCCTTCAAAAATGTATATGTGCTATTTTAACTTCAACTGACGCAAGTGTGTTTTGTTTTGCAGGAAAACGATGTTGATCACGATGAACTATAAGACTTGATGCCGTTGCACAGTGATAACCTTCAAAGACTACAAGACATTGTCTATAATGTGTGTTGTGTGAACAAGTGAACTGAGTAGACTGCCTTTTATACTGATTACTTATAAGGAAAACTCACCTAAAATATTTGTTAGTTTACTACAGAGTTCAGATTTTTGTAATTAGTTGTTTTCGTTCCCTGACAGTATCTATTTGTAAATAAAGCTAGGCTTACTTCAAAACGTTCGGTCTTGGACTTGTATCGTACAAAATTTTGTATATGTTGCATTTACCACGTGTTTTGTTGAGAGTGAGAACTATGTTAGATATTATTTATTGAAATCTTTTAAAAAGAAACCATTGAACGTGTCATACTCCGAGTATTCAGCTAGTGTGATTCGACTTTGAATGTTTCGCATAAGGTTTAGTGGGTGATATGAACAAATTATCACAACAAAGTATTGTAAAATATATCCTTCGCATACTTTTTGTTTGTGAAGTCTCCACTTTTTGTAATGTAACATAAGTATTGTTTTAAATGCGCAATAGATGTTTTATTTGTTATAAAAATATAACCTTAAAACATTCTTGGTTTTTGTTTCCTGTATTTTTGACTGAAAATGTTAAGGTATTGTATTTAACATCTTATCAGGAGCTTTAAACTACTCTCTTTGGAACAACCTACATAATGATTTTAACCAAAAATACTATTCCTTCGATTTATAATTACTAGTTGTTATTCTGCCCATGCCTCGCCACAGGTAGAGAACGCAGAGAAGATATGATGATTCTTCACTGCCTTGTCCAGTGCAATCTGCTGGATGATTAAAAGCACTTGTTTTTGTAAATTAATCAATTAATGAATTCAAAGGTTTGTACACTATACCACATTTTAACCCTGCATCTGGCAGCTACGAATCTCTATACTGACAGGCCATTTTTTTACCATACAAAAGTATATATACTATTATGTATTTTCTTTTTTAGGACAATAAAATTTAAACCATTGAAAAATACCAGATAGCTTATTACCTATATGCAAAATTCGCTAAAACAATTTGTAGAACTGTTTAGTTGAAAGAAAAAAAATGGAACTCAAAACATTTGTCCAGATTAGAGGCTTGGGTAAAATACAAAAGATTTTTTATTAGAAATCCAAGATATACATCACTTATTAAAAATGGTTCTTTACATGAAAAAAGTCACACCATGCTTAATACACAGTTGTGTCATTCTATGTTTTTATTCTCAACTTTCAATATATTTTTACATCACGGTAACTAAACAAACTTTATATCAAAATATATTAAATGCTAGAATCTCCTGTGTAAAATAATATATAGCAATATATAATACAGGGTGGCCCAAAAAACGGACAATTTAAAAATTTGATTACTACTCAGCTGTTTTAAAGGCTACAGAGTTCATTGGTATGGCAAGTGAATGTTTATTTGATGCCATTAGTGCAGTGTTTCCCAACCTTTATCCGTTCAGGGCACACTAACTAGAACAAGTTTGTAGTCACGGCACACTTGTCTACAAAATATCGTTGGTTAAAATTACATTTAGTAAGTGCATAAAAAACTCTTTTTTTTCAATTAATTTATCAATCAATTCTTACTCCGTAAAACCTATTTTTTACTATTAAAATATATATATATACAGTAGACTCAATCTTATCCGGACTCCTCGGGACCGAGGCCAGTCCGGATAACGGGTTTTCCGGTTAAACCGACGTCCCCTGAAACTCGTTAAAAAGGACTGTTTACTGTGATATTCGACTTATATTTATGAGAGCATTGTATTTAGACACGACACGTGATCACTGGTCTCAAATCTTTCCCACAAGATCAGTCGTTTTAGTACTGCCCACTTCCTGCCGATCTAGTCCGGTTAAATCAATGTGCTGAAAAAGTTGTCCGGTTAAAGAGATGTCATTTCCGCCGAGTGTAGTCCGGTTAAACCGATGTCCGGTTAAAAGGTGTCCGGATAAGAGGGAGTCTACTGTATATATAAGGCAGTGTTTCCCAACCAGTGTGCCGTGGCACACTAAAGTCACCCTACTATATGAGTTTGAGGCTTTACAATAGTCTACCAAATAAATTCAAAAATATTAGCTGCATAACTAAATTCAAAAATAACCTTAAACTGTATTTAATAGAAAAAACCTTCTATTCTGTATCTGAATTTCTGGATGACAATAATATTGGTGCACACTTTGGGCAATAAATCAGTTTATAGTTAATTTTACTTTAATACTATTTTAATTTATGGAATGTTTTCTTTGTTTTATATTATGCATATTTGACAATGTCACCTGTTCCTCTAGGTGCGCTAGAAACTTGGAATGTATTCTTGTGTATGTGACAATAAAGTAATATATTATATTTAATTCATGCAGATTATAAATGAAAACGATTTTCCACATGAAATGCACATGTAAGGTTTATCTCCTGTCTGATCCAGTCAGAAAATGTCTCTTCAAACAACTATAACAGGCAAAGTGGTTTCCACATAAAATGCACTTATAATGTATCTCTCTTGTATGAACACTTGCAATATATGAGTTTATATCTAGTTGGACTTTTATGTAGTGCACTATGATCTCTCTGTATGAACAGTTCGCGCATGTCTCCTCCAAAAAACAATAATCAACTTAAAGAATGTTTTACATAAAGTGCACTTTTACTCTTGTATGAATAAATGAATGTCTCTTTATGTTGTCATTGGTTTTAAAGAATTTTTTGCACTTATAAGGTCTCTCTCCTGTATGAACACTTGCAATATGTCTCTCGCTGTTAGAAGTAAAGGATTTTCCGCATGTAGTGCACATAATAGGTCTCAAAAGTGAAAAAATTGGACATACAATGTTTGTGCATATAACCATCGATATGTATTTTCATATAGCGGTAACAAACAAAGGATTTTCCACATGTAGTGCACTTATAAGGTGTCTCTCCTGTATGAACACTTGCAATGTCTTTTCATATTACTGTTTAAAGCAAAGGATTTTCCACATGTAGTGCACTTATAAGGTGTCTCTCCTGTATGAACACTTGCAATGTCTTTTCATATTACTGTTTAAAGCAAAGGATTTTCCACATGTAGTGCACTTATAAGGTGTCTCTCCTGTATGAACACTTGCAATATGACTCTTCATATAGGGTCAACCGGGGCTAATATGAACAAAAAAAGTAAACTTTTGACATTAACTTAAAAATGGTAAATAACAGAAGAAAAGAAAAAATAGTAGTGTATACAGCTCTTTTAGCTGAATCTATTTATTTACTAACAAAAACCATAAATGTAACCATTATTTAAAAAAAAATTAAAAACCACTGTTCACATTAGCCCCGCTAAAAGGGGCTAATGTGAACAGCCCATGGGGCTAATGTGAACACTCTTAATAACTCTGTTATTTACAACACTAGGCATATGTGGGGGCTGTTGTGAACAAGCCTAGGGTCTAGTCTACCAGTTGCAATAAGTCTCAATATTTTATCTTAAATAGTTTTTGAGATATGAAGGTATCTTTGGAGAGCCGCGGGTCGCCCTACGGTAACCCTTTTTTTTTAAACCATTTATAAATATTATACAGGGCTAATAATAAGATATAAACAAGAAAAAAATTATCTGTCAACATACCTGAGTATTTATTAAAAATTTCTTCCACATACAAATTGTTTAAAGCACTTAAAAAAACAATAGCCTAATTTAAGACAATGCAAATTGTTCGTTTAGGCAAATGACAGTTTATTGCACTTTTAGGCCTATTAGGTAAATATATAAATGTGGGCTAGGCCTATTCAACACCTTAACTGTTGTCTTTGTAAAATTAAAACTGTTTTATCACTGTAAGGCCTTCAAAGAAGTTTATTGAGGAACTTACGCCTCAAAAACTTCGACAATTTTGTCGAAGACATACTTATGTCTATCACTGGTTCCACATACATTAGGGGCTGGAAGTTTCCCCAAAATGTCAGTGGTAGAAACAATAAATATATCATCTTCTTTTTTCAGGAATGATTTTTTTTTCTCATCACAGGATTTAAATCCCATCACTTCGATCTCCCCGTCAGCCAGTGTTTTTAACACTGTAGCGACATAGCGGAAGGTGGTACTGTTCACAATAGCCCCCATTCACTGTTCACATTAGCCCCCCAACTTTGAAAGCTTATAACTTTGGCTGTTATTAATATATTTTAACTTTGGGAAAAGAAAAATAATCCCCAATTCTTATTTAACAAAATTCAGGCTTAAGATTATTCCTACAACCAATGTAAAAATTGTTATAACAAAAGTTTTCACTTTGCGCGGAAAAGTTTTTAGGGCGGAAAAAAAGTGTTTTAACAAAGTATTTTTTTAAAGTACCTAAAAGTCAAATTTGAAGTTTTCTCATTATGGACACAAAAAATACAATAATTTTCCTTTCTAATTATATTTTTTTCATGATTAAAAATCCCAGATAAATGACTTTTTAAGTCATTGTTCATATTAGCCCCAATATTTTGGTGTGTTCATATTAGCCCCGGTTGACCCTAGCTGTTAGAAGCAAAGGATTTTCCACATGTGGTGCACTTATAAGGTGACTCTCCTGTATGAACACTTGCAATATGTCTCTTCATATAGCTGTTAGAAGCAAAGGATTTTCCACATGTGGTGCACTTATAAGGTGACTCTCCTAAATGAACACTTGCAATATGACTCTTCATATAGCTGTTAGAAGCAAAGGATTTTCCACATGTAGTGCACTTATAAGGTGTCTCTCCTGTATGAACACTTGCAATATGTCTCTTCATATAGCTGTTAGAAGCAAAGGATTTTCCACATGTAGTGCACTTAAAAGGTGTCTTTCCTAAATGAACACTTGCAATATGACTCTTCATATTGCCCTTAGAAGCAAAGGATTTTCCACATGTAGTGCACTTATAAGGTGTCTCTCCTGTATGAACACTTGCAATATGTCTCTTCATATAGCTGTTAAAAGCAAAGGAGTTTCCACATGTAGTGCACTTAAAAGGTGTCTCTCCTGTATGAACACATGCAATATGTTTCTTCATATTGCTGTTAAAAGCAAAGTATTTTCCACATGTTTTGCACTTATAAGGTGTCTCTCCTGCATGAAAACTTGCAACATGTTTCTTCATATTGCCGTTAGAAGGAAAGGATTTTCCGCATGTAGTGCACTTATAAGGTTTCTCTCCTGCATGAACACTTGCAACATGTTTCTTCATATTGCCGTTAGAAGCAAAGGATTTTCCACATGTTTTGCACTTAAAAGGTCTCTCTCCTCCATGAACACTTGCAATATGTGTCTTCATACCAATTTTTAAAGCAAAGGATTTTCCACATGTAGTGCACTTATAAGGTGTCTCTCCTGTATGAACACTTGCAATATGTCTCTTAATATAGCTGTTAGAAGCAAAGGATTTTCCACATATATTGCACTTGTAAGGTGTCTCTCCTAAATGAACAATTGCAAAATGTCTCTTCATATTGCTGCTACTAGTAAAGGATTTTCCACATGTGGTACACTTAAAAGGTATTTTTCCTGTACTGGAATGAACTGTTGCAATATGCGTCTCCAAATAGCTGTTAGAAGCAAAAAATTTGCCACATGTAGTACACTTGTAAGAATTTGTCCCAAAGTGATTTAACAAATGCTTCTTTACTTGTTTGAGTTGGAAAAAGGTTTTTTCACACGACAAACATTTAAAGGGACGCTCTCCTGTGTGATATAATATATGAATCTTCATTGCAAATCGAGTTGAACGTCTTTGCTCACATATCGGACACTTGATAGGAAAAACATTAGTGTGAGTTAACATCTTGCACTTATTAACTTTGTGAATCTTAACACATAAATCTAATAACTAATCAAAGGAATTAGTATGTATTAAAATAGTAACCTTTTGTAGTACTTCTTAAGTGTACAGCAGTTATATGATAGGCTATCTCTCTCATTTAACATTGAATCTTCTGGTATTAAAATCATGCTATGCACATTATGTATTCTTCAGTATACTTGAGGGATTTTTTTATCTTCTTTTTCTGTGTTCTTCTATTGTATTATATAAATTCTTAAATCTGTATAATCTCTTGATTTAATTCCTTTTACTTTCTGTGTTAACCTAAAACAAAAATTTTCCATATAATTTAAATTCTAGTTAACAAAAGGAATTACTGAAATTTAATTTGTGTAGGGCAGTGGTTCTTAAACTATAGGTCGCATAAAGTGGTGAATTGCGGATGCTACCCAGGTAAATTGGAACACAAAGGCAATTGAAACGGCTGAAAAATAAACACAGTTGTTAATGTGGCCACTGGTGTGAACGGGGGAACTGGGAAGGTTTAGCGAAAATTATTTTGTGACAGGTTTTTGTATGTGTATGTGTCAAACAACTTTTAATTCTAACGACCTTTATGTGAAGTAATCATTCTTGTACACACATGATGATGACCTCTTAGCGGGTTGAAACTAGTTGTGGAATACAATTGGATTGCCAGAATCAGGTATTTAAACAACTATTAATATTTATTCTACTCTAAATTGTTGTACACCTCTTGGTTTTTACTTTTTCACTATGCACACCTGAATTAAAACTGAATAATCAGTAAAACATCAGTTACCAGTGTCGACACTCCTACCTAAAATATTTCCAATATTTCGTGTAGTGACCGTAGTGAATCAAGAAATAACAACGCAAACATAGTAATAAAACCTGAAGTGACTAGTCTTCGTAAGTGCTAGCAAGAGAGTGAATATTGAATAAGTTAAATTCTAGTAACCGTAAGTAGCCTACATCTTTGATAATTAATAATGAATTTATGTGTCTACGGATGAGGACCAGCTGACTCAATGTGTTATATATTTTGAAGATCTTGCTAAACAAAAACATGAAACCATCAAAACTAGAAAGACATTTATCTACAAAGCATGTGGAATATGATCATAAGTTGATTGATTTGTTATGAACAAGAAAAGAAAAATTTCAAAGTCTCAATCCGTATTTAAAGCTTGTATTTTTGGTGAACAAAACAGACAAGTAGCAGTTGCATCCTATCCTCTTTATTGATTGTCAGAGAGAATACAATATGACTTTTACAAAGATTAAATGAGAATTTATCCAACATTTTTCAAGCGTCACATTTTGAAAAATTGAAAGGGCTTATAAAATGCTAAAAAATTACACCTCTCCCATCTTTCTTGCACGATTTTGAGAGATACTAAAGTATTTTAAAATTTCATTCGTTTTTGAGTTTTTTATTGTGTAGTATTTTACGAGGTTTAATTTTAAAACTATTTCAGATATCAAGTTGACATTTTGTGTTTTACTAAGTCTCTGTGGGGTGTAGGGCCTACCAGGATATCAAATGTCATAAAAATCTGAGATGGTCAGGTAAATTGATTGTGTTGATTTGACATGGAATTACCCAAATAATATACTAATTTTACCTGTTTTTGGCTCGTAATCAACATAAAACGTAGCACCGAGATGCACTCAATAGGTATTGGAACTTGTGACCTGTAAACACAATTATGTTATAGCTTTTAAAATTATAATAGCAAAGACTTATCACAAGCCATATAGCTTTTGCCAATAGATTACAAAGCTGAATGATAGATAAAGTGACTAACACTTTTCTCTGTAAATCATGTTACAGAACTAGGCTAGCATAATAGCCTATGCTAAGTAGCAGTTTAAACTCCGACATATTATGTTACTTACAGTTGGAGTTTTAACCCTTTCAATCACTGTGTCCTATATATATGACAATACAAATAATATATGCCTATTTTTTATTTTCTTTATCAATTTTCTTTGAAATTGGTGAAACCTTGGCTTCACTTCTGCACATGTTTGACAAGCTGCCGTCATCCTTTTTACATCATCCATAGTGTAGTTTAGATTTTTAGTTCTATTCCAATCAAAAATTCAAGTGACACTCGGATGGCAGAGAGATTTGTGTAAATCATACAACTTAGCATTGTCCCAGCAAACCGCACATGCCAGAGAGAGCTTATCTGCTTTTACATTCCCCCTACCAGGTCGGTACACTATTTCATATTGATAAGGTGTTAGCTCTAGTCGCCATATTGTATGTAGCCTTTCTCTTTCTTGTTTTATAAATTGCATGTCTCCTTCAAGTAACGCCAAGATTTGTGTCTATCGGCTTACAACCTGGAGTTAAATTGCAGTATAGTTTGGGTGGTTCAACTTTGGCACAGGAGCACACCAACAAAGGAGGTTTCTCACCTCCAAACCAAGCCTGTATATTAGAGTGGAGTTTCATGACATCATGTCCGATGAGCACTTCGATACAAAGATCTTCAAGAACAGTCAACTTAAAATTGTTGTAGGCCTAATTGTGACTCAATAGATTTAGGTTGATTTTAACAAACAGGTAGACATTTTCATATTAGAAGCCGCCAGCGATACTTGTCCACTTTCTTTATACATTTTTTATTTTGTTCAACTGGACAAAATTCAAGTTGGTAAAGCTTGATGTACTCCCGGTGTCTATTAAGCAATTTGATTTTTGTTCATTCACTCTAGCTTCAACTGAAGAGTCTTTCAATACAGATGTATTATGTGTTGTTGATATTAGTGCAGCTGATATACTAGACGTCTTCCGTTTTGCTTTAAAATGTTGAGTAGGATTACTTTTACAGACTGTCACATTATGTCCTGTCTTTCGGACCACAAGTGGCTTCTCTGGCTGGACAGCGATCCCAAGAATCCCTGTCATGTCCACAAAAATAACACTTTCCATCAACATTTTCAATAGCGGACACAGTCGCTTCTTCCTATTGGTGTTGTTGGAATTCGTACTGACTAGCTTGCTTTGCCAATTCATTCATTGCACTTCAAGAGAGTGCATTCTGTACATAGATTTTGGAAAGCTCTCGAGTTGAGCTTGAGAAATCTCAAGACCTCTAGACTGTTTCACTGCTTTAACTAAGTCTAAAGTTTTATTTTCAAATAGTCTCTGACGTATGTATGAGGCTAAACCATTGATAAAAACGTCTTGAATGTGGTGATCCCTGTATTGAATTGCATTTACAGCAACAAAAACACAATCTTGGCTCAAAAGTTTCAGTTCCGACTTATATTTTTGTCCTTGTTGCTGTTTTCTAGTTATTACTAAATATCTTGTATATTTCATTCTTTTGTTTGATGTAAATTGAGTTAAGAACTCTCAAAGCGTCTTTGTAAGTTTCAGATTCCTTGATAAATCTATAAATCGAAAAAGATAAATGATTAGTTACCAGTTTCTGTTTGTCCTTGTCTTCAGCAAATTCTGTCATGGTAAGAAAATCTTTGAATGTTTGTAACCAAATGAGAGCGTCCATTCCTCTGAGGCAGTTGGAGATTCCGGGTTAATTTTCAATTTGTCTTGTCTAAGGAATTTCTCCATTATAATGTAGCACTAACTAAGTTTATCAATGAATGAAAACTTTTGACGAACTCCACTGCAAGGAATATGAAGACTACTTGACATTCTTCTGACCTGATGATGTGCTCAATTCGAAGCATGAAACAGCTGTAGTCTTACTAACTACAAAGGATCGTTTTGACAGCAACAAGGTAATTTAAACCACTAGGCCTATATAGCCTCCAGTGGGTTTCGATCCGGCTACCTCCGTATTATTAGCCCGGTGCGCTATCCAATACACCACCGAGACCTTCGGCTAATCAAAGTATTGTTGCGGTAATGGTGTTCGCTCGAGCAGTGGTGGACCAGGTGGGCGGTGGCGGTCTGTCGGCAAGGGTTAATCTAGTTCACTAACTTGCATATCGTACTAGACCAGCTTACTTCTTAAAAGATCTAGGTTAAGCAAGTCTATTACATTTGAGTAAGTTAGGCCTACATGTCCATTAAAGAATTACATTAGTAGAGTGTGAACATTTAACCCTAGCTATAACAGTTACTTAGGCCTATGTTACTAGATCCCCGAAATAAAAGTAGGGTACTTACTTAAGTAGAAGCTTGTAGAAGGCATATTTACCATACAAAAGGCTTGGTCGCTCTTCACAACTGCTGTAAAGCTGCATTTACACCGTAGGCCTAGTTAAAACATAGGAACACGTGTGTACAAATGTTTCTAAAAACCAAGAAACACTAAAATAAAATAGGCTTACTTTAGGAACAGAAACATTTTGAATATTTTGATGTTGGAAACAGTTCTTTCTACTCAAGGCCTACAATTACAACAATTTACAATATCAAATAATGGAAATTTTGACGGTTCGGATTCGGTTGACTTTGACAGCCGGCGGGGTGAGGCCAGAGGCCACTGACTGAGCTAAAATTATAACCGGAGGTAACACTGCCATGGCAGAAGTCTGTCAAAAGCGTGTCGCTGATTTTGTTAGGTTGGTAAAGCAGTGGGTTTTTTTTATCATAGCAATAACATGGCTTCTTAATAACTAGGTTGGTATAGCAGTGGGTTTTCTTATCACAGCAATAACATGGCTTCTCATAACTCCCGCCCCACACAGATATGGCGGCTGGCGACACGGACACGCATCTTTGACATTCAGTGCTACCATAGATAAAACATACTTAAAAGCTTCTTCTGATTGACTATAACGATGGTTTAGTAATTGAAAATTATTTTTGTTCATAGAATAAAATTATAAATGCCTCAAATTCTTTTTTATATTTTTTATTATGAAATTAAACCGTCATAACCTAACCTAACCAACCAAACGTGCTGACAATGAAAAAATCTAATGAAGGTTTATTAATCGAACAAATAGTTCTGTTCATAAAATAAAATTATTAATGCCTCAAATCCTATTTTATAATTTTTTTATTCTAAAATTAAACTATCATAACCTAACCAAACTAACCAGACTTGCTAATAATGAAAAATCAAATGAAGGTTTAACCGAAAAAAATATTTCTGTTCATAAAATAAAACTATAAATGGGTCAAATTCAACTTCATAATGTTTTAATTATAATATTAAACCGTCATAACCTAACCAAACCAACCAAACTTGTTGATAATGAAAAAAATCCAATACAAAAAGAAAGTGCTACGGGTGGGATTCGAACCCGAGTCCTTCGGATCATCAGCCCAGCACTCTATCCACTTCACCACCGAGGCCTATGTCAGCAACCGTATCGTCGCGGTAATGATGTTCCCTCAGCCAATCAGAAGCCTCAAAATAATACTGTAGGCAACACTAATCCTGAAATAAAAATTCAGCATTGGGCAGCTGCGTTATCGTTATAACCGTTGCTGGAAAACAACGATAATTCCCATCTCTATTACGCACAGTCAAGCAGGAGATGGAGAATCTTTAATTTACGGAGACCCTCGTAAAATGACGCATACAGCCACACAGCACAGAGTTATCTACAGGATGAATAAAAAGTCAAGACCCCCCCCTCTCTAATATTTTTCTAAGTAAATATACAGAGATATCGATCCTTTTGGTGGTCGTGCAATCTTAGCAGGAAGTTTCATTTTATGGTTTTGAAATTTAATATTTTAGTGTCTCCCCAAAAAGGGGGGTTTGGGAGGCAACTCAAATATTTTTAATGTAAACCCCCTTCAAGTGACACCTCATTTTGAAGTGTTTACACAAATTTAAAGAATGGTGAAAACTACATGTCGCTATCTCTTCTCTATCCTCAAGTGCTGTGGATAATAAATGGTAATATTTGTTCGTAATGGTAATATTGGCTACCATTTTGGATAGAGAAGAGATAGCGAACTCTGGTTTTCACCATTCTTTAAGTTTTTGTAAACACTTCAAAATAAGGTGGCACTTTATGGGAGCTTACATTGAACAATTTTTATTTGCCCCCCCCCCCCCAAATCCCCCTTTTGGGGGGACACTCACAAATTTTAAATTTAAAAGTTTTCAAGCGGAGGAGCCAACAGCTGTAATGGTCGCAATACTTAAATATTTTTGATACTATGATTCTGTTTAGGCATCAAGTTGTTAAATTAATTGTTTTTCTGGGAGTTGGAGAGAATACTGATATCGAAAAATAGATTAATTAATTACCATTAGAAATTTTATTATAATTGTTATATGATTAATTAATATTTCCCCTTAAATTTTTCAACCAATAAAATTTTCTGAAATAAGTTAAAGAATTTTAATTCAAAAGAAATATTTGCATTATTATTATTATTTTATAAGCATATTATAAGCAGATGTATTATAATTATAAAAAGGTGTTTAATCATACATTCAAAGTCAATGGTATAATGTGTTTACGGAACGGCTTGACAGTTTTTTTGAGGGTTTGTTACAACTGCTGGATCGTGCGAGACTTGTGTTATTGTATAATACCTGGTGTAATGCACATTCTTCTCTTCTGACTAAAATAGTTTGACTTTAATGAAACACTCCCTTTGGAAAAGTGTAGTCATTCTCGTAAAAATCGCAAATGCAATGGTTTTATCCACTTTGGGCTGTTAAAATGATTTGATTTTTTAACGCGTAGCACGGATTAGGGTAACGGAGACAACATACTATAATTCATCCTACCAAAATAACTACATAAAACCACAAAGTTTTAGTTTGATTAGTGTTTGTTTATTTGTTGGATGACTTTATCTATTAAATATCTAAATAATATCTAAACAGATATTTCTCAGATTTCTTAGATAAGATATTTTTAAAATATATTTAATTACATGTAGATATCTTTAGACATATTTCAACCACTTTGAATATTCATTGGATACCTGGTGCTGTTAGGGGAGTGGTTGAATCTTGATGGAAAATATTTGCGGAGTGTGTTTGGAGCTGGAAGTGTTTGCTTTTAAAGTATAATCAAGTAAATTAATTTCGACTCAATAAATAAATGCCAAGTGCCCCCATAATACCCCATTTTGGTGGCTGGGGCAAAGTTGTAACTTTTATGGAAAAGGGCTATTTCTTATGTTGTAAACATGTACCGAGTTTGGTTTTCCTACTGCAACTCGTTAAAAAGTTAACTGGGGGGTCCCTGACTTATGTCATTGACTACGGTATATAGCCACAACGTTGTGGTTATATAGTCAATGCTTATGCCTAACTCTGTATAATAGTCATGATAATAAAGGCAGTGGGCGAAATATGACAAGAGAGATGCAGCTGTTGTAAGTGCAAGTCAGCTGTTTCATTATTGGTTAATGGTTGGAGACTAGAGTCCAACCAATAACCAATCCAAGGGAGGGCTGTCGTTGCTGTTCTGTTCGTTCTGTTCTGCGTTCTGCTTCTGGTTTCTGTTTCTGACTGACAGAAGCTGAATCTGTGCGTCTGCAAGTTTTAGGTGTTTGTGTAATGGATTGAAGATTATTTACATATTTATATGTTAGCAAAAAACCATCATTTGTGTTAAACACGTTTGTTTGAAAGATAAAAAAATGACTCAACAGTTAGCAATTAGAACTTTTACACCTAATAATAGGTATAACAGTCATAAGTGTAGGCCTAATATTCTAATTTTGGAGAGATCAATGTAAACCTGTTTCAGTTCCTCTCGCTATGGCCGTGTTGGTTTTGGGTTTCTGGTGTTAGTTAGTAGCCAAAACCGATGTAGTAAGAACACGCTAATGCAGTTTTACATCATATTATTTGAGTTAACATTTTTTAAACATTAAGTTATTTATGCTTTAAGCCAATCATGACATAGGTATTTAAATAAGTAAATGTGGAGCCCAGATGGAGAGTGCAGCATAGTTAATTATTTCTATACTTTTGAACACTGACTTATTATTCGAAACCTTAAAATAGAGGTAGGCCTAGGCTAGGCTTAAATCTTATGTGGCCATTAATTTTTCATTTCATCTTCATGTTTAAATTTACAAGAAAACCATTTGTTCTTATGATTTTGCAACCCCTAATATTTACTTGAGAGTCTAACCTATTAACTTAGGCTTAGGGGCCTATTCTTTTTTGCCAGTCTTTGAATTTTTGATTGGTTTCAAAGAAAATAGCTAAAGATATATAACATTTTTTTGGCTTGTCACAATAATAATTTATTTTGCGGTAGTCTACGTCCCTTGAAACAAAGAGGTAACTTAGTTTATTTTGCCAACAACCCTCGAAATATATATAGGTCTAAAACCAAATAGGCACCAATAAGGGATGTTAAACACATATAGACCCAATCATGAAGCGACTGAACCTTGGCTTACTAATTATTAGCAAAGCTAAGTTCCTTTATTTTTATTTGGATATTCCATAATAGACTACGATAAGAAAAAGCAGCCCTGTCCAGGCAATAGCCTAATAATAATAAGGAGCCAAGTTATCAAAGAAAATAACACTAACTGTCTAATATCACCCCCTTGCACATTAAGCAAATAAATTAATAAACTTTTTCATGTTGAAGCCTTCCGGAATTTATTTTATTTTATTTTATTTATACATGCCAACGGCTAAGCCAATACATAGATGTAAACAAAAACTGAACAATATTCAATACTCAATAGAATACTAAATAGGCTACATAGATGAAAAAAAAAAAAACAAAAACAAGCTGAACAATACAATACTCAATAGAATACAATAATAAATAATCTGACAATGAATAAGTTAACAAAGACTAAAGATATAATAATAATAAATATATCAAAGAGCAAATACAACAATAGAATTTTTTAACAAGAATATATATAACAATAGAGGCGTTGAGGCTAGTCCAACATCTCCACCAGGATTGCTTTGGTTGTCCTCTTTATGGAGGTGTAGCTGTCGGCGAAGAAGTCGACATCACGAGCAACTCTGTTGCCCAGCCTGAGGATTCTTGCCAGAGGACTGTGAAAGTCATAAGTGGTGCCTCTGAAGCGACGGCCGAATAGGTCTCTGGATCTTGTTATGGTAGGGATTCTGATGTCTATTTCTAATAGCAGCTCTGGACAGCATATATGGCCCCTTAGCAGCTTGTATAAGAGACCAACATCAGCAACGCTGCGCCTCATGTGTAATGGCCGTATTTTCAGCTCCTCAGCCAGAACATCCGTTGGCACCTCCTGATAGGGGTATCCCTGACGGAATTGGTAATCAATTACTGTATAGCAGGTTACGTACCTTGGACGGCAAGGTATGCAACCTGTTATAATTAATAAACTTGGTTACTTTTGCATTTTTATACATTTGGGTTACCGTGCTTTTTAATACCTAAGGTATCTAACTTATAATCTAGTCTAGGCTATTTTCACTTAGATTCACGCTCAGTAAGCTTCAAATAACATGGCTTAAAATATCTTGATTTTTAAATTTATTCAAAAATATAAAACGATTGCTATGCATTAAAACACAAAATATTCAAGCCTCAAAAAATGCAAATTTTTCATTTAACCAATTAACTCAAATCCAACCAACTAAGTTACTGTTAATAATTAAGTTTAGTGAAAAATGTAAAATTCAAAAGTATCTGTTCAAATGTAAACAAATCTCTTCTCCATAAGAAAAACATTGGAACTTTAAAGGCCTCTGAGACAGAGCCCTGATGGAATTTCTTGAAAACGTTTCTTATTGCACACCAAGACCTTATAATTGGAACCTCCATTCCAATTCTGAGATGTTAAGTTATAACTTGCAATTTAAAGATATATACCTACCGTACTTAAGTCAGTGAGTGAGTGGTATTTTTGCCTTTTATAAGTGTAGATTAAGCAATTTGCCAAAGTTTATGAAAATACCATAGAGACAAGCAAACTGCAGATGAATGTATTCTACATGAAGATAAATACGAGAATGTAGGCTTGTTACGCTAATCTTCAAATTTGAGCAGAAATAACTGGAGACTAACCTGTCTACTGCTGTAACTACTTTCTAAGCTGAAAAAATAACTGTCTACTGGAACGTTTGAAAAATCCTAATCAACATAAAACAGAGCCCCGGCAAACTTTTGTATACCTCTCCATTATGTTATCGATATCGAACGCTGGTTGGACAGCTATAAGTTTGGTTATCCATCAAATCAATACTTTTATTGTTCGATAATCATGATGGTCTCTTTGCCAATGAAATCTGCTGAAAAAGGAAACATTCCTAACAATTGTTATTCCGTAGTCTCTCATCATCATTTGTTTCAGGGATGATGCTTATAACAACAGCTGCTCAAGCCTTTGATAATGGTCTTTGGTAGTCTTCCCTCTGATCCTCCGACTATCATTATGTCAACTTCATATCTATGCTGAGTCCTATACTTGTAGTTATAAAATGCAACAAGAAGGCAAACCAAAGTTCCTTAGATTCCATCAGGGTAGTGTACGGGGAGTCGCCTTCAGTCCAAGGGTAGGAATAACATAAATGTTTTTAACATAGCCTAATTAAGTTAAGTTTCTAAGTAATAATGTGCCCCATTCAATTAGTAAAAAATGTAATAACTTGTTTGATTGATCAAACAAGTTATAGACCTACCGTTTTTGGGTAAAGCACTCAATTTCTGTAGAAGTTGGTAGCCTAAATTTTGTACATTTTAAATGCTATTTCAGAAGAAAACTGACTTGGCTGAATTTAAAATAGGAATGAGCAGTGATAGGTCAATCATCGATTGTAAAATCGGTATCAACCATCACGGATTGTTGTGAAAACATCAATGATTGATGTTTTTTTAAAATTTTAACTTTTTTGTCTGCTTTCTGCCTGAGCTTGTTAAACTAGCTCCTACCTAGTTAGATGTTTGGCAGTTTCTATTTTACGATTTTAAGACAAAGTTTACCGGTCTTAATTGCTAATGCTGGAGAAGGAGTGCTGCCGCTGATATTTAGGCTATTACAAATGATTTTTCGGAGCATATAGAATATTATTCATTTTGATAGCCCCTGGACTACGAATAATGACTTATATAGGCTTACCTCCGTCAGTAGTCCAAAATTGTGTCTTTTTCAACTAATGTTGTTCAAAGCTTACATGTTTCGTTGCATTGCAACATTGTCAGAGCTTTTTGTCAAAAACATCAAATAATTTACACATATGACAAAACACGGAACACGAAACATTTAAACACGAAATAACACGATAGCGCTATCGACACGGCACGGCAGCGGTTGTAGGTAGACTGGACACGGGTTAAGTAACTTCGTCCCGTCCTTCTCTGTTATCAGCTCGGTGGTCAGCTGTTCCAGATGAGATAACGGTGTTGAAGAGGGAGTGGGACTTGAATTGAAGTTTATCATTGAGGATGTATTCCTTGTGTTCTTCGTTTACGTTCATTTTATATATCTCATACTCCTCAAGTGTGTCCAACTTATTACCTTTCCCGCAAAAATGTAGAACTTCCAAGCCGTTCTTAATATCACTCATTGAGTGATTACAATCTACAAGATGTTGAGCAAACGCAGATTTTTGTTTATGGTGTTTAGGATCTGGTCGGTGTTCTTTATATCGTGTTTGAAAGGCACGACCTGTTTGCCCTATGTATTTGCTAGGACAATCCGGACAAGATATCCTATACACGCCGGTCTACACACAGACAGCTCAAAGAAGAAAAAATATGTCTGTGTGGAATATAGTCACACTATCCAACACGCATTAAAGAAAGAACTCGCTAAACAAGGTATTGAACTAGCCTTCAGAACCACAAACCGTACCAGGAACGTGTTGGCAAATAAGGTTGAGATAGGTGACAAAGTAGATAAGACCGGCGTGTATAGGATATCTTGTCCGGATTGTCCTAGCAAATACATAGGGCAAACAGGTTGTGCCTTTCAAACACGATATAAAGAACACCGACCAGATCCTAAACACCATAAACAAAAATCTGCGTTTGCTCAACATCTTGTAGATTGTAATCACTCAATGAGTGATATTAAGAACGGCTTGGAAGTTCTACATTTTTGCGGGAAAGGTAATAAGTTGGACACACTTGAGGAGTATGAGATATATAAAATGAACGTAAACGAAGAACACAAGGAATACATCCTCAATGATAAACTACAATTCAAGTCCCACTCCCTCTTCAACACCGTTATCTCATCTGGAACAGCTGACCACCGAGCTGATAACAGAGAAGGACGGGACGAAGTTACTTAACCCGTGTCCAGTCTACCTACAACCGCTGCCGTGCCGTGTCGATAGCGCTATCGTGTTATTTCGTGTTTAAATGTTTCGTGTTCCGTGTTTTGTCATATGTGTAAATTATTTGATGTTTTTGACAAAAAGCTCTGACGATGTTGCAATGCAACGAAACATGTAAGCTTTGAACAACATTAGTTGAAAAAGACACAATTTTGGACTACTGACGGAGGTAAGCCTATATAAGTCATATAGAATAAGCACTTCCACCACCCATGTAGGTAGTTGTATCAATCTCACTCTTCTCTTGTCTTAGGCTATCAAAGTCTAGTCCAGTTTGTGTTACTTTTGCACAGTATTCTATGTTTCTTTAGCCTTTCTATACAATAACTGCAAAAATTCAATTTTTATCAAGACCAACATTAAAATTTGCATTAAAACCAATAAACAATCCAGTTTAAAAAAATTTAATATTTCGATAGTAGGTAAAAAAATTGATGTACCGTAACAAACATTGGTAACCTACCACCGATGTGAAAAACATTGAACTTGGGACATTGAGAGAAAAACATTGATGTAGGCTAAAGAAAGCATGAGCTATCAATAGGCATTCCTAATCAAAACAAACAAACAAAAATTCATCTAGGCTAATGTAATTAGTCTCGAGCTTTTAATGTATTTAAATACTTTTTATAACTGTCCGATGGAAATCTTGAGATTTTATAATATAGGCCTAGGTGGTTCTTGCCCGGTAACGCTCAGTTTTTGACATTAACTAAATGTTTTCTTCGTATTTTAAGGTAATCTTTTCATTGTGCGCTTTACTCGCTGTCATCATCACTAGAGGATTGCCCTATTTAGCCGTATTTTAGCCTTATTTAATAATTTTAAAGTTTGTAAATTAAACTTTAAAAAGAAAATATTTGTATACATTGTGCTCAATTGATATTGGACATAAACAACCTACAAAACTGTCTTCAGCTGATCCATATGGTTGATAATTTAATAATAGAGTTCTATGTTCAAACTTTTATTTAAGCCTGTTAAGACTAAATCAACACAAATCCATATGAATTAGGCCTATTATAGGTAACATACAGTATCCTAACTAACTTTGCCTCTGCTAAACGTTTGATTCTTTATTGAATTTGAATACTATCAACATGATCCAGGATCGGTACCTGTTTTGCTCCGGTGCTTACGATGGAAAAGTCAACCTGTATTCTGCTTTACGCATGGAACTACTCATGTGCTACCAGATCACCACCATGACTTTAGCGAGAAACGTCAATGCCGTACGGTTTACTTCTGATGGATCGAGAGTAAGTGATTGTTTATTTCCTTTGGAACAGAACTTCCAGCCTAGTTTTTTGTGTGCTTATTTTTCAATAGCCTGGTAAAAATCAAAGGCGAGAGTTAGGTTAAGTATTTTAACCAATGGATTTCTCTGAATACCCAAAACACAACACAACTAAAATGTATGTAAATCTTACCCTTTTCAACAAGATGTAAGGATTAACTTAATCCTCTTGAAGATGTTTTGCTTTAATCTTTCTGTTAATCTTCAAGAATAAGCTAAATTTTCTCATAGCCTAAATAATAAAAAAAAATCAAAATAGGTTTTCCTCTTTAAATGACAAATTGTTTGGCAGCTTTGTAGGCCTACTTTTGCCACATTGTTACCTATAAGCAAATAAGATAGAGGCCTTTTTAGTCCTCTTCAAGATTCACTGGAACTAAACTAAGGCATTATAATTATACCTGCAAACTAAATGTATGCTGGCAGAGAAACTTAATGAGAAAATAAATCATCAACTCATGGACACAGCATTTTTAGTAAAAGATATCTTTATTTTTCCTTGTATTGGTACCGGTAATAGTTCAGTGTATGTGCATTTTTCAATAACAATACCATTCTCCTTTTAATTAGGCTCTACGCTTACGGTATTTTAGTTAAGTCCTAAATGTTCCTACAATGAACAGATTCTGTACTTGCACTCAATAAATAGGCCTACCATGTTTGCAAAAATGCAGTCTTTACTTACTACAGAAATAAATTGAATTGGATATAAAGTTAGTAGTAGCAAACATCTAAACCAGTAATTTTAATCACTTAAGTTAATAAATTGTTTGTCAGATTCTGGCGGCAACAACGGCGCGGCGGTTGGCAGTGGTGGATGTGGAGCGAGGGGAGCAGCTGTTGGCGTACGACAACTGCGCGTATGGAGGAAGAGAGCGCTCCGGCCTCGCTACCGATCCTGTGTGTCCCAACATGGCCGTCTCCGTGGCAGTGAACGGTAAAGGCCTCACACTGCTGGACCTGCGGATGCCTCTGCCACTCGACTTTGTCTATGATGTGAGTGGAAACGTTTTCTCCAATAATTTTCGGCTAGGTTTTGTTTTTAGTTCGATAAGACTAGCTATCTTTTTGAAAAGCTCTAATGTTTTTTTGTGAGATTATGTAGAAATTGTTTCACTGCTAACAGAAACAAACAACTGCTGCAGCTTCATTAGAATTTAAATTACTAAACCAAAAATTATTTACTCATCCAAGTGGGAGTTGTCAGGTAGGCCTATACTAGGCTTATACATAAAAATACACAGACATTTAAGCAAGGACAATTTATAAAAATCCCATTGTTCAACAACTGCTGAGTAAAGTTTGAAAAAAATCACAGAGTTAACGTAGTGACTTCTCAAAACTAAACCTTCTGATTACTAGGCATTCTGTTAACCACATCAGATTTTGAATTACCAGATACTGTATTTTTATATTGATGTCATCGGTTAATAAACAAACACAATTGGGATATATTCTGTTGATAAGGAAAGTCAGTCAAGTTAATGGTCTCAATATTGACCCTTGAGGGACACTATTTTTGACGGTTTTTGTCGGGTAAATATAAGTTCTTAATTACTATGTTCTGGTCATTTATGTGATCAATTAACATACTGCGGCCTGCGAGTAAAATATGATTCTAACTAACACCAAGATCTCCCTTACACAGTGTACATTTAAGTTTTTCAAGAATTGAATCATGTGATACACTTTCAAAGGTACACCTTGTAAGAAGTAAAATACCCATGTTAATCGTGCAGTCTGGGATTTTTAAATCATAGCAAGTTCCTGCGGCAGTTGCTTGGTAGCAAAGGAGTTGTTATCGCTGGCATTTGGGTCAATGGGACAACAGTAAAAACGGCAGATTTTGCCGCTTTTACTCGTGTACGTATGAGTATCGTACAACCAGTGTGATTGAATCAGGGAATCGGCAAAGCAAGAGAGGTTGATAGCAAAATGCTAGCAAGCAAGGTCATTTTAGCGACAAAATACAGTCTGGTTGTTATTCATTAACATTTCACCTCTAATAAGGTTTGTATTCATTGTCAAAACTCAGATTTATTTCTGTTACTTCACCACCACTATTTTGTTTTATGTGGGATGATACACAACTTGGAGCAAGAATTATAGTTGTAAATTATAATAGGCTTACTTCAAACTATACACCATAGTGGTTGTGAATTAGGTAATGGAAAAGGTCCTCTGATCCTATCAGGTACATATAAAGTTGGCCAATCTAAAAAACCAAACTAGTATCCGATTGTTTAACTTAAACTTGACAATTCCAGTTGCACGAGAGTCAAATCAGAGACGTTTGTTTCCTCCACGGGTCGTGGCCGTGGGCGAGAGGTCACCAGTCGTCCATCTTGACCGCGGGGTTGGAGGGTACAGTCAAGATTTGCACGCTAGACGGTCGAGTCCTTCACAGTTTCACAACTGGCCACTCGGTCAACACCGTCTGTCCAACTCCCGAGGCATTCAACCACTGCGCAGACGACGGATTCACCAGTGAGTAAAGTAATGTTGATTAGATTACAATTCTGACACAGAAAGGTTTGTATTTTAGGGTGAAAGCCGACTGTTACACGAATGAGATAGTTCTGACTTTTCTAAAAAAGTGAAAAAGTTTCGAACTTTTCTCAGGATTGAATTGGTAACTTTACGATTTGGGCTAGATGGGCCTACCCACTCAGCTACCCAGGTAAAAAAAAAAAAAAAAACTAGATAGGAAATTCAAACTTGATATTCTCTGATTGCTTGGTGATGGCATGTTTAAGCGAATTTCCCATATTAATAAGCTATTACCGTAGGTCTCATGGTAAGACCTGGATCTGGGACCGATTTACAGTATATGTATATATTTTTTGTTTCTGTTTAGGTTTGATCCTCAGTGGTGGTGAGTTGGTGTCTTCGTATGTACCTGATTCTGGAATCCAAGAACATCTCAAGGAACACAAGGAGATGCCCATCTGGAAACTCAAGTAAGTGATTTTATTGACTCGTAAACTAACCTATTGCAGGGTTTAATTTTTAGCGAATTTCCCATAGTGAATAAGTTATTACAGTAGGTCTCACGATAAGACCTGGGTCTCTGTCCTTTTTTCTTTTTGGTTTTGAGTCCTCAAGATCCTGAAAACGCCCTCCGTTCAGATTCATATATATCGAGCAAAATAGATCCAATCTTGATGAAATTTGGTACAAACAAATAAACCTACGTTACGTTTCTTATAACAAGTTTTCTAACCATCATGATCGGACTATGGAAACGGGGGTTTATGGGGGGTAAAAATTGAGTTTTTCAGTTTTTGACCCTATGAACATAAAATTTTGAAATTTATTTATAACTTTTATGAAGTCCTAGAGCCTAAAAAAGAAATAGATAAGTATATTCGAGCATTGTTGTCTGTAACAGTATGCTTGTTTTGTTTTACATAGGCTACATATATATTTTTTAATTTGGCAATTTTGTGTATTTCATACTAAGCTATCAACATTTCAATAAAAAAACACACCTATGAAATAGATCTGAAAATGTTTAAGGATAATATTTTAGTGGAAATCTAGTACCTAGGTAAATTGAAATTCGCTTAGTCTGCAGGTTTGTTGCGGTGGGGTATTTTTGAAATTACCGTTACCCTATTTATTTATTCTGTTTGTATGAAGACATTAAGATTTTCATTAAGAAGACATTTAGGCCTAAGACATTTCAACTAAGCCTACAGTAGGTAACCAAAGGATTGATTATTTCAATCAGAATTATAATTTGCTGATTCAAAGTTTGATTTGGAATCAAAGAACTTAAGTTTTAAGTTAAGGCGATCAACATTATTTATACATGCCATAGGTATTATTACTAACTAATCTCAGTATACCTAAAAATGTTATTTTCATGGCTTATAATTAAGTCGTAAAAATAAGCTTACCAAACTTTACAACACTATTACAACTACTCTTGGTGTGGTTTAAGAAGAATTTGTGGCTGATATAGTGGTTAAAGCACAGGACTTCTTCCCTGGAGGCTTTCACCAATGTTACTGTTGATGTCATAACACACTAACGTGGTAGTTTACAGTCACCCTTAAATTGAACTTCCACTCATCGAAAACTCAAATACCTGGTTGATTTTTTACAAAAATATTCCCTCAAAATCAGCATATATATTTCCTACTAGCTGTGTGCCCGTTCTACGCACGGGGATCTTATCGTAGCCAGTTGAAACCTTCTTATATTAAGAACAGCAGTTGATTTGAATATTTTCAGATATGCTGGCAAAACAATTATAGATAAACCTTCGCAAATACAGTATCTGACAGTTTCAAGCACAAGCCAAAACAAATGCTTCGCAATTAAATGTCACCCGGATCATGTTGGTCCATATTTTAAATCCAATAATCCGATGATTAAACTAAAAAAAATGCTTTATAGATCTATGAGGCATAGCCCTAAGGTAGGCCTGAAAGTTATTTTCCACAATGGTTAAAAGTATATAAGGTACTACCTCAACCTCACAATTTAACACTTTATTCGGGTTGACATTTTTCATTATCAAGGTGCGCTTGTCCTTTCCGTGAAACACTGAGAAAAAGGACATTATTGCGTTACCAACAGACATACACACACAAATCCAGAACTTAATTAGGGAATTTGCTACGCTTTAAGCATAACAAAGTAGGTACATATAAAATTAGTATTTGAAATCTTTGTTAACGTTATCAAATTTTATCACAATTTATATTTGCTTGGACCGAAGATGACCCGTAATGCTGTCAAAATTACGGCTTACTATATGAAATGAAGTACTATAGACGATTTAGATTGGTAATTTATAATACAAATTACCAAAATAGGCCACGAACTATTGATGCATAAACAACGTAAAGCGTTTAAACAATTCATGATGGTTTACTGAGTTTTTACTAAAATGCGTTATCGCATAAACTAACATTTTGGAATCCAGACAGAAAAAGCAAAACTTATACAGTTAAATTGAATACGCCTGTAATAAATAAGGTGCAACACCAACGATTACTAATTTGTAAATTACAATGATGTTGTAGTAGGTAAAAATTATTCTTGCTGCTACCAACGGTTCTAAGGGAAATCAGTACCAAAAACCAACGTTTACAGTTAAGAACTATAGTACATCCGATCAACTGTATTCGTTAATCAAGTCCCGAGGATATTGATCTTTTGGTTTTGGATTTTCTCGTAAAAGGTTATTGGCAGTCAAAGTTATTTACCATAATTTCTTTATTTATAAACAACTTTTAATGTAAACTTATCGGTGTCAGTTTGAAAAAAAAAAAAAAACAACCTTATACAAACAACTGTTTTGTTATTTAACAGATTACGTATTCTCTAAACAATGATTGGCTATCTATTAACATTAGAAGGGAATGTGATAAAAATCACACAACGTTGGGTTTTTGGACGTTTGTAATTTTATTTCTTAAGTAGGTAGGCCGTCTATCCTAGGAAAAAGTACCGGCATCAAGGATCGTCGTCAAAAAGGTTGTTATGAATAATTGGCTAGGCGTACGTACCCAAGAGATAGGCTATTTGCCTATTGGCTGTATGGTCCAGCGATTGCATCACACGGTGAGTAGAAACTATTGACTATATATATAGTCAATGTTAAGAACAGAAAGTGACACATTGGAAACCGAGTTTAGCATCATCTGTAAACCTCTGTTACAATCACCTACTTCAGTTGTGATTTTTTTACTTTACACTTTACACAACCGCCATTGAAGCGCCGTCACTGAGTGGAAATCTTGTTTCTAAGCTATTGGCGACGATCATTATAATTGAATTTAAGTTTCCCACCCGTATACAACACTGATTCAAGGTCTTCTTTCTTGTTATCAAAACTCAAGAACAATTTCATACACTAAAGAATTTCTGGTTCCTGACCTGGATGATACCTAGTTAATTAATTTCATTTACGGTTACACTATTACACTATATTATTGAACTTGCGATTAATTAAATGCATTATGTAAGAAAAACGTTTTTAATCTCACTTTGTTGGGATTCGCTTTCAAAACGTGATCGAAAATGGTTGCGGTATTTGTAAACAACATTTGTAAACATATCAGTGATAGCTATAAAAAATAATCTTGATCCGAACAGCTGTTCGTTATTTCATAGATGATTATGTGATAAAAATTGGACGAAAACTTAAAAAAAATCGCACAAAACTGCATTTTTGAACGTGCGTAATTTTATTACAAAGTAGTGAGACCATATTTTGATCGCTAAAGACACTCTCACCAATCCAGTAAATACATTAAAATGACTTGGATCTTGATAGGTACTCTCGTTTTCCTGGAGAAGATTGCGTAAAATGCCATCTTGAGTGTTGCAGACAGACAGACAGACAGACAGAAATTTAGATGAGACTTGTTTCGGCTTCTTTAATGTATAAAACATAAAAATAACCTAAAAATGTATGATTCTGAGCAATGTACAGACAAAACTCTAATTTTATTTATATAGATTTGAATAAAATTAATTTTAATAAGTACCTACTTAGGTTTCCTGTAACAGGGTGTGTTTTTTATTGAAATGTTAATTTGTTAGTATAAAATGGACAAATTTGGCAAATTTAATAAAAATATATCACCAAACAAGCAAACTACAACAGTTTATTTATTCTTTTATAAGTACAACAAGGAAATTTTAAATTTATAGTTTTTCAAATTTTCTCCATAACCATTAGTTATACATCAATGCTTTACTGTGTAAAATTACAGTAGAACCTCGATAGTGTGACACTTTGTGGACTTAAGGGATGTCCAAATTTATTAAATAGGCTACTAAAAAGCTTTACAATTTCACTGTTCATCAGTTTAGCCTCAAGTCAACAATAAATGTTCAAGTCAGCTTACATCACAATAAATATCATTAAATACCAATAAATATCACTTGACAAAATAGCTCAGCCTGTGTCGAAAGGATGCAAGGATGGTTTTTAAGCTCTACAAAATAGTTAAGAAATAAATTGAAAAAAATTAATGGTCTATTGGTGAAAATGTGAAAAACCCATTTTCACCCCATAAACCTTCGTTCCCATTGTCTGATCATGCTGGATTGCAACTCGTTTGAATCAATGTGGTTTTCTAAAAAAAAAAAATCATTTAAATCAGATTATTTTTACTTGAGTTATCATGCTGACGTGAATATGAATATGGTGCTTTTGGTCTCTGGGGACCTCAAAACAAAAAATTAAATCGGTCCACAGTGTAGGTCTTACCACAAGTTGTTCAGTAATAGCTTATTCACTACATGGGAAATTCGCCAAAAAAGGAATCTCAATGAAGGGATTTGCTTCATAATTTTCCACAAGAAGCTAAACAATAATGTGGTTTGATTGCAGATACACGTCACAAGGCAGTATATTGTACTCAGCGTGTGACGGAGGAGTTTTGAGGAGATATCGCAGATATCCAGACCATCACCAGTACTTGGGGGAAGTGTACAAACACAAAGGAGACATCCAGGACTTGGACATCTCACCCTACGATGAATGTATCCTTTGACAAGTCAGCTCAAATGATTCTTTCCCAGAAAGTGAACACATAGTAACATTGTCTAAGGCCAACATTGACTTGCAGACTTTAAAATTGTTTTGTTGAAATAGAAACACCAGTGGCATACCAATATGCTCTTATTTTAACTGTAGTTTCAAGGTTATTTTTATTGCAAAATTTCCCGAAAAGGATCATATTTTTATTTATAGAAACTGAAATGGTGGTAATTTTTATCAAAAATATAATTTACGGTTGATTTATTCTTGTTTGGACACCACATGACCAAAACATTATCCAAACAAAAAGTTCCATAAGAAATTATGAACTGTGCTTAATAAATATAAAATGAATGGATACAGTTTCATACTTAACAATTCCATCCTGAGAAAAGTCAGTTGCTTTTTGATGGTTCTAAACTGCACCCACGAATACTAGAAAAATACCGGTATGGCTCATAAACATAATCAAATGACGTTTTTGGCCCAAAAGTAAACAACACCCCTATACTATACTCTGTCTGAATTTAATGTGCAGTTGAAGGACAAATTTGTTTTCCCCTGTTTTCTCCCTGGCCCCTGCCACCACAACATATTAGCCTACAGCTGATTCATACTGTTTATAATTTTACAACAGTTGTCACTTTGTTTACATTTTAGTAGTGAACAACATTGTGATTATTCTGATGGTATTTTTTTGCAGTTTAATATTATTCAGTCTGTGTTTAATTGATAAATGTTAATTAGAAATGGCCAAAAGGTGCCAAGGCATTACCGTTCAACCTAAAAATACAATTTTTAGAGTGTACAATTATTTAAAAAAGCTTTTTTATAAATCTGCAGTATGACACTGACTCTGATGGCTTAAGCGAAGATGATGGTGAATATCTACTTTCCAGTTATGAGAGTGAATTATGTAATGGACCGTCTCCAGTACTTTTTAACGTCCACATTACAACTAATATTTGTTTAATTTACACCATTGTGTTCATTTTGTGGTTTAATATATGTTTTAAAAATCAAATTAAATTTATATGTTTTTACGAGATTTGTTTTCTATTTGGTGTGTACTAAGGCATATTGGCCTTTTATTATTAAGGATTTGAAATTTTTATACAATTAGTAAACGATGAAAAATGCAAACAATTTATATAGCTGTTACATAGAAATGGTTTAATTTGTGTGTACCTCCAAATATAACTCGTTCATTCAAATAGTATAATCAATTTGTTATGTTAGTTTATCCTCAGTAAAAGAAAACTTCTACTTGTCATTTACCTAGTGAGTTTAATGTTGTACACTGATTACTCAGGCATAAACAGGATAACCCAATGGTTTTCATCCTGATCTGACCTTAGGGCTCCGCTAGAGACATTGACCTATTACCGACGTTATTAAAATAACAACTAAATAAAGAAGTAAAGAATCGCTTTAGAATTTTGAAAAAAGTTCACCACAATATTAACTAATTTAATAATGTATAGTTACATTACCAGAACTGAAATTGTATTTAAAACAATCCATCAAAAGCAAAAATGTTAGTCCAGGATTATGTATATTACATTAGCCTATAACAAAACTTTTAGTGAAATTAAAATTGATACGTAGATTATTTATTGTTAAAATAAATCTTATTGTTTATTATGTGTGCAGTTCAATCATAATAAACAAATGCTTCCTAAAAAACCTGTCTGCAATATAAAACAGATGATTGTTACAGGAGATTTCAGTGTAGAAAAGGGTAAATGAGTGGGAGATTTACCATGATAGGGAAATCATATGTTGAATTCCAACCGCACAATTATTTTAGACAGACTATAGGTGGGGTCTCATCCACACAGCGTACTAGCTGTCCGTGTCCGGCAGAGACCGGCCATCGCGCAACCACAGTGAACTAATACGTCTAAGGCCAAAGCCAGTACCGTACCATTGCATAACCACAAACGGCCTTCTAAAGTCTGAAATGACCAGATCCACACAGGAATCTATTGTGTGTATATTTATTTTAATTTTCAGCAGATTTCACTATTCAATTCCTTAACCGTTGACCAGACATCATCACGGCATCCAAGGACAAATCCGTGGGTGTACTGAGGCTGGGAGCACCGAACCACGGTTGGACCGAGTACTGTGAACTCACATGATACATAACATGTGTTCTTCTTCTCAGCTGTGTAAATTGTGTACAAAACTATTCAATTTTAACCATTGTTAAGTCTACATACAGCAACGTTTAAACGCGCTATCAAACTCTTCCTTTACAATTCTCAGTTCACCAAAGACTATCTACACATCGTTGAATGATGTAAACTAGTTAGTATTATTTCCAAATACTTAATTACGATGCTTTAATTTCTTGTAGAATATTGTATAGTTTAATGAATTTTAATCTTTATTTTAAATCTATTTATTTCAGAATGCCTCAAATGTGAATTTTTCCTAAGTCTATATTTTTGTTCATGGAAAGATTCAAACATAACAATTTTATCTGGCTGTGGCAGTCTGCAGAGCTGGCTGTGATGTGATAACAGAAACTATTAGTTTAACACTATGAATGGGCTGATTCCGATTATTTTATTCCGTAAAACATTAGACTCGATACATTGTGACTTGATTTCATATCAATTCTAGAATCATTTTGTAATCTTCTACCACTTTGGTTAGGATTTTGGAACTTCTTAAATTTGTCACAATTGTGACGACATATTAAATTTTCAATTGTGCAATTTTTAAACTTGGCAGATGTGTTTTGCAATTAAATAATATCAAAAAATTCCTGTTAAAAAAAATTGATGTTATCTGTATCCTGCTGGATAAACATGATACAAAATTTCCAGAATGAAATTATTATTGTGATTATTTTTGACAAAATCATTTATCAAACTTTAGATCTTTTGCATGGTTGATATATCATAAGTAATATATTGGTAATATTCTTCCAGTTTGTATTACTTAATATGGTCTGGAATCAAAATTGAGGTTTACATTTTAGTACTAGAACCTGAATCGAGCAATTTTGGAATCAGCCCATCACTAATATAATACACTTGTTACAGCAAACCTGTGTACTCAGAAATTTTCAATTATTATTTGAAGAAAAACTACGTGCAAGATAACCATTGAGAATTGCATTGGTGTTTTGTTTTCCATAAACACTCAGATCTGCTGAGCATGGTAAACCCTGCTATTTTATCACAAACACAAACTAATGTTTTATCAAAGTATACATATATGAAGAAATGGAAGATGAAGTTTTATTATTCTTTAAGAGAATATCATAACTATGTGAAGTTTAAACTACTACACAATCTATATATATCAATCTACTAATTGGGATCAGATTCCTAATTAGTCTGAAATGCAATAAAATTGTATGGAATAATTCATGTATTTTTATGTGAAAGTTACAATAGTACCTTATAATAGCAAGGTATAATAGTAATTCCACCATCAGGGTAACATCGTGATCATAGCCCAACTTTTATCTATGTTTGATATTCTGTAATCTATTACACATGCCAACCTTTTGCTGAACTATTTTCAAAATTAAGGCTACAATTGGACTCTGATTATGGTGTGAGAGGTGTAACAAGTCTATATCTATCACAATTGTAATATTGTTTAAATACAGTATGTTACAAGAATAATTGTTTAGAATGTGCTAGAAGACATATTTTTTTAAATTCATATAACAGTGCCAACACGTAAATCGCTAAAGAAGCTATTCAAAATTATCTCGGTTTAAAATTATGTTTTTGAGAAAATGTTTAAGTTTGAAGAGGATGAGCTTCAATCAATACAGATACCAATAACTAGAATTTTTTTTTTTTGTTACCGTCTATTTGTCAATTATTTCAACATACTTGGAGTTAAGCTTTCAGATTTTTATAGCGCCACAAACTTATCACGTTGGCTCAGCTATGTTGGCAAAGGTACCAAACCTCAATATTTTCAATTTTTTTTTATGGGTAGACACTGCAATAATGGAAATGGTTGATTACTTTAAAATTTTTTGGATATATTGAGATACTTTACTTAACTGGACAGCTTTTATAATCTTATCACCAATTAAAGTGGTATATTTTTAGGTCTACTATTGGAATATATGACAGGGTTTAAAAGCTTAAATTAAATAAAAATCTGCTCTTTCTAGGGAAAATACCGTAATACAAAACAACTGTGTTAATTTATTATATTCCTACATTTAATTCAATTATCTTGTTGCTGGAGAGTTAATATTATTTTTCAACAGATGTTCATAATTGGTCCAACCTAATCAAAAATCTTTCCAAGGAAATAAAGTTCTTTGTTTACAAACGCATTTACTTGTACAAAAGATTTTTAACTTCTTAAATTGTAAATTATTGTATAGATGTTTCAAATTTTGAATTTAAGTTTGTTTTATCAATAACTACTAAAGCTTATATCGATGGTAAATAAAGTAGTAAATGTTTAATTGTAGTTTTTATTATCTATGTTGTAAAAATTATATGTGAAGGGCTGTAACTAAACTACTAGATAAATGTAAGGGATACTAAGCAGAAAGAAGTCCATTACTATATCGTGGTCCCTTTTCAAACACCACTGCCATTTTAATCAAGATAAATTTGGTATTTCAAACGTGTGGTAGGGTGAGTGCACCAGGGAATGACCATTTAAGCTTGAGTTTTCACTATGACATGAAAAAAGGCTATTAAGCGACAGTTTAAAGATTAGCTTTAATGTCTTGTATGTATTCTCCTCCAATGTTAAAGCTTAGCGTATTATGTTCTAGAATGTTGAAAATACAATTTATGGCACCTAAGTTATTGCACCATTGAATGACCGCATATTATTTGACCTTTTGAAATTGTATAAACTAAACTCCTTTTCATCAAATAACCCGTTCAAGATTCTCATGCCGAAGCTGGAGACCCTGTATAAAATGATAACCATTGCAGGATCGTTGAAATATAGATTCTAGTGAAAGGCTACTTTTCATCTATTAAATTACTGTAACATTGAATTCATGTCAAATTTTGGTTACAGCGTATTCACATGATTTCTGATGAGATTCCTTCTGAGATTGCCTCCTGAGATTTTGTGTTTCCTAGCAAGCACTTAATCCTTAAGAAAACTTTGTTTCTAATTATTTGAAAAAAATGTTATCCAAATCGAATTAAAGACCCAAGCAGTCATTCACTGGCTATACCCTTAAGTTGTGATCCAGTAAATGACAGACTGTTTAAACAATTGTTGGTTTGGATTATGATCTCAAAATGAGTACAGAATTGTACCCTATTTTTTGTTGTTGTAATTACCAATAATATTTTACAGTTTCCACCAATAATCAAAGAACCATGACAAACACAACCAGCCTCGTTTGTATAAGACTTTGTAATAGCAACCTTGAAGACAAACTGGTTGGAACACTTTTTTTGTGTTACAAAAGGATGATTGCCGCTTTTTTTTGACCAGTGACGGGGGGGGGGGGGGGGGGGGTTAGTGAGTTGGTAGATTCCAATCAGGCTCAAAAGTTACTTTTAAGACCGTTGATATACTAGGAAAAACAAAACGCTTGATATGAGGTTTTTTTAAATACAAAACGTTTATTGATTGGTTCTCTCACCCTACGTACTAATGTCGATTATTTTTAGCATGAAATAAGTTTAAATGTAAATTATTTCATCAATAACATAAACATACTGTGGTAATATGTAGAAATCGTGCAATATAGTGTAGAGTATTTTATAGTTTTATCAATCGATAAATGTGCTTTATAATATTTTATAAGGATTAACAGTTTGATTGACATTTGTAGTGATGTGCATCTCAAATTTATATTAAACATTTGTAAAGTTAAAACATGGAGTTATCCTTTCCTTTTGCTCTTGATGTTTTATTTGGTAAAATGGTTGTCAGATAGATAAGTTTGAGGAATTGTGCTAGTCGTCCTTTCCTTTTGCTCTTGCTGTTCATTTAATATCATTGTTATATAGATTTTGGACATGTGTGAGATACTTTTAGTGTTTGCACTCGAAATGGAACACGGTCACTTTTGGGGAGTCTTTAATATTATGCTTTCCCCCTCCCCCATACTACCCCTATTAAGACTGAAGAATCATGTAGGACGGAGCCATTTCCATGTCACCGCTCGTGCTACTAGGTTCCCAAGGCGTAGTTCCGTGTATCACTTATAGTGTTGTTGTTTTAGTTTGCTATGTATTTTTTATAAATACTCGTATGTAAACTAAGTTTTTTTAAATATCTTATCTTATCTTACTAATATTATAAATGTGAAAGTTTGTGTGTTTGTTTGTTTGTGTGTTTGAAGTTCAATCACGCATAAACCACTGGACGGATTGGGCTGAAATTTGGCATGATGATAGCATACATTCCCGATTAACATAAAGGCATATTCTTATCTCAAAAATCCTTTCGGGCTCCGCCCCAGTGGCTCTCTAATTCCCCATGTTAACCTTATGAGTATTCATATTTAAAGGGAATTAAAGAATTTAGTCAGCTGTTTCAACTAAAAAAGTTGGTTCTATGATATGGGAAAGCATTAAAAAGTTATAAGATTTACCAACAGGGTGCAGCACAAAAAATTTTGTGCTATTATGAAAACAGCTATCTATATAATTAATACGCTACATGAAACTTTGTCGGTTGAACTCCTCCGCCATTTCTTAACCGATTTTATCCATTGACGTCTCATTGGAAAGAGCGTGTCGCGTAGATTTGCAAACTGGCATTACATTTTTGAAAAATTCCCTTGGGCTCTGCCCCAGTGGCTTTGAAAGTTCCCATGTTATCCTTATGGAGAACTTAATTGTTTACATTTTGATCAGCTGTATAATTTAATTGCTGTTATTTATTTTTCAATTCGAAACGCATTGAGTACATTTATTTACTATTTCAGTTTATGTAAACATAACCCCCAAGTTTGATGGTGTTAGTATGGTTGTATCTTAAATTTGTGTATTTATCATTGTTTTGTGTTGCTATGACGGATTGTGTTAGCTTGATCGTAACTTTAATTTGTGCATGTATCGTTGTTTTGTGTAGCTATAATTTGTTTATTTGTTGTTTCTTTCTTTCAAATGCCTCCGACGCGACGACAACGCGAAACATAGGCAGGAGACGTAATCGTGATAACGACCGCAGCTACAGAACAGTGGCGCGTAATAGGCTTTAACTCATCACAGTCAGCACCTGACCCTGGACAATCTCAGCTACAGTATTAGATTACAAATGCGCCCTAACACTACCCCAAAACGACTTTTCGTTCTCAATTGGCCCTCTATCAATGACCTGTGTTGCCTGTACAGCGAGGCATTTTGAGAAGGAGAAAACCGGCCGGAATGCTTTAGGTTTATCAATAACAAAGATAAACATGGTCTAAGTTACTCACCG